TCACTGACTAGGGTCTGGCACTTCTTGGCCAGCACCACCCCCAGCATGTCCACGGGGCTGCTGAACTTGGTCTTCCACTTCTCAAAGTCCTTCTTATACTCCCTGTCACTCTGGATCTTGGCCACGTGCATGGACCACATCATCTTGGGGTCGTCTTTGATGTCCCGGGCTCCAACGTGGTGGCCAAGCTGCTTGCGAAAGCCTTCTTTGTACTTGTACTAAAGGAAAAAAACATGTCTCATTCCTTTCAAGGTTAACGTACGTTGCCATCTTTGTGATAAATTACAAAGCATATTAACCCAAAATATTTCACTAAACCTAGAGAGCCACAGGTTAAGATTAAAGGCTAAATCCAGCTACAAATTCCATACATAATAAATGCATCCTTGAGCTTATTTTCATCTCATACTGCATCTCTGGGATCATTTCACTCTGTTTTAATTTGTTACTCTTTGGAAGAATTTGTTCAACTTAAAATTAAATTAAGACTGCTTTGAAGTGATAAATTGCAATCAAATGAGTATGAACAGGGACTAAAGTCTTACTTCGCTGGCAATTTCTCGAGATGCTTTTGCCGCTTTGATTGGTATGGCATCAAGCGGAAGATCGTAACCTTTTTTCTTCAGCTCCTCATAACCCATTCGGTAGAGTTTCTGTTAAGAGACGAAGATCACTTTGGGAAAAACTGTTTTCCATAAACAACTGCAGAATAATGGATCCAACATGCTAAATATTTTAAGAGTTCATGAGAATAGTATCTGTGCTCGAGAATAGTCAAATGTAATTATGCCCATTGATTTCTAACGATCCTGTTTTAAACTTTAAAGCTCTTCAACTACCTAGATTAACAAAATTAAATGTCAGCTCTTCCAAAATACTCATGAGAATGAGACAGAAGTAAATTGATAGAGAAATGAAATTAAATATCATTTAGGTGCTGTTTTCCAATTAACTTTGAGTGTTTCATTAGAAGTTTTTGTTAGAAAAGAGCAACGCCTTTCCATCTAACACCTCTAGTGGGGAAAAATTATGCCTAATTGTCTGTGTCTTGCTGTAGCTAACGCACTGTGAAATAGAGTCTATTTCACAATACAGGGCAGTCCAAAGTAGGATCCACATCTGTAGGTAAGAAACAAAGTCCTTCATAATTTTTAAAATGTAAGATTTTTTGAGGAAAGTTTAAATATTGAATTAAAAAAGCTTAAGTGAAATAATTTGTTTCTGTAGATTGGTTATATAATTAAATAATTAAGACTATAATTTAATGTACTTTATCCAGAAACCAGATTGTTTAACATGCCTATTGATCTTAGACTTGTGTTTATGTTTTAGTCCTTTATGACATTACTCTAATACATTATTTAATATTGAAGTCTATTAGAGCTTACCATTTGTCTTTAAATATTTAATTTTCTCCTATAAATTTCAGGAGATTATGCTATGATGACGATGAAAATAAAAACGGGTTTTTTATGCTCATTCATCAAAATTTCATTGAATTTCATGTGTGTCAGGCACTATACTAGCTAAGCACTGCAGATCCAATACAAATTGACTCTGCCCCCAAGGAGCTCCTATCCACGTAGGGGAGAGTGATATAAACTGTTACATTATGATGATACATGTAATAACGGACTACAGGAACGGACGGCACACCCTCTCAACTCTGCCTGAGCTAGAGAATGCCAATTATTTTGATGTTCAAGCTAAAAGCCACTAAATGAGGAATCTGAGTCACATGTAGTTTATTAATTAAAATGATCTGGGAATTCAAAATAACTCCCAAATAAATTCACTGCAATGGAAGCAATTAAAATGAGCTTTCTGAAAACATATGCTGAATCTGGAAACTTACATCACTTGTATTGATTAAGTTTGCTTTAGCCAGAATAATGTCAGGTGTGTCAGGCATGATGTGGACTTGAGTCTTGTCCTTGTCCCAAGCTTCTCTATAAAGTCTCTAAAATGAGAGATAAGAGTTTTTCAGTGGTATTCTTAGTGAATGACATAGTTAACAACACACAGGACTATTGAATTCATCTGAATTAGCCATTATAATTGATAGTATAAGCAGAAAATAGGTACAGTATTTCTTGATTTATCTGAAACAAAATTGCCTTTCAAAATATAGATTATGGATTACCTTTTCAAAGTTATAGATAACCCTGCCTATAAGCAATCAACCCAAGTACTTGAAGCCTTTGCCAAGATCATCAAATGGAGCAAGGTCTCCATCCTGTTGTATTATAAAAGTCTCCCTCACTGTTTAATTGGAACAATTTGAGAAGCCCTTGCCTTCTCAAAAGATGACATATTCAAGGTATATCCAGAAATTAAGGAGTCTCATTTCCTATGTGGTTTATTACTTATAGTTATACCTCATAATTATTTTGGGAGATTAGTATTTCCAAAAGGATTTTGTACGAGAATTTATCAAAATCTCTTATATGTCCCTCTATCTTTCTCCAACAAAAGACAAGGGGACTCAAACAAAAATCTCATTGATTTATTAAAACCAGGGGATGAAAGTCTGATGAAAAAGTTTGAGGATGTTTACATTGTCAGAGAATCTCCCCACAAGATACTTAGCAATTACAAAGGATAAAATAGTAACTTGACAGTGGAAAGACCTGGCAACACCATTGTAACCAAGTGATAAAAGTTAAAATTCAATAATGGAACAAATTGATATCATGTGCCTCCTGATACGATGTATGGAGGAGGACACAACATGTATTATCCTGCTAAAGATACAAAACCTGAATCTAATCATGAGGAAACACCAGACAAACCCAAATTGAGGGAGATTCTACAAAATAACTGGCTTGTGCTCTTTACAAATGTCAGGGACTTGGAAGACAAAGAAATAGTGAGAAACCAGTCCAGATTAAAGGAGACTAAAGACATGACAAACAAATTCAATGTGTGATCTTGGATTGGATCCTGGATCAGAAAATATTTATCTTATATAAAAGAAATTAGTGGTAAAAGTGAATAAATTCTGTAAACTACTATTGCTTCAACATTGATTTCCTGATTTTGATCACTGCACTGTGGTTATGTAAGAGAATGTTCTTGTTTTCAGAAAATACACACTGAAGTATTTAGGGATACAGTGGCATCATGAAGCAACTTACATATATATATACATGAAAGATAAAGAAAGAGAGGGAGAGGGGGAGAAAGAAAAAAGATGCAAATGTGGCAAAATGTTAACAATTGGGGAATATGGCTGAAATATACATATATGTAAATATATATAAATTATTTATACACTTTTGCAAATTTTCTGTATGCCTGAAATTATTTTAATATAAAAATTTTAAGTCTCATTGGTTCCTTGAACTTGTCATTTTCCCTTTGAGGTGTACAGTGTGGGGTGTGTGGGGTTGGCACTTTCCTCCTTCCTGAACATGCTTACTACAGTCCGTATAACCCAAAGAAGCCCATTAAGACCTCCAGGACCAAAACAAAGCAAGGCTTGTGAATTCCCATACACATTTATCCTGGTTCTGCGCTAAGTTTTCTGATGAAGTAAGATCAGAGTTTCTCAACCTCAGCACTATTGGTGTTGTATACCAGATCATTCTTTGTTGTAGGGGGGCTGTCCTGTACATTCTGGGATGTTTAGCAGCATCCCTGACTTCTATCCACTAGATGCCAGTAGCATGCCACCCTCAACCAAAAAGATGACAACCAAAAAGGTCTCTAGGTGTTGCCAAATGTCTACTGTGAGATAAAATTGTCCCTGGTTGAGAACATTAAGGTGGACCATTTATTCAGTGGCATGTGTCACTTTCTCCCCATGGAAAACAGAGAAAATGCTAAAATTGGTTTAGCATATTATGTATATTTAGATCCTTCTGAGACCCAAATGGTTATTATTATATATCAACTTAAACTTTCTTACCAGTTTCAGAATCTCAGTGCATGAAATTCAACTTTCTGTAATTCTTAGGGTTACGCTTTTGACTGAGCAATGATGAGTAATCTTTCTCTTCTCTGCATAGAATTACTCTACACTGCTATCTTTCATGTATTTTATTCAACAAATATTTAGTGAGCACCTATTACATGCCAGACACTGATGTCAGTGCTGGAGAGGGAAATAAGTTGAAGATATACTATCTTCAACTTATACTATATATATAATATATATATAGTATTATGTATTTATCTTGATTCAGTCAAATGAAATGCATTATAATCACTTGGCAGAAAATACACTCTTGACAACATTTACCCTGTGCCTGTGTGAGGTACTCAGAATATGTCCCTCTCATACACTCTACTCCAACAAAAAAAAATCTAGGTCTTTAGTGCACTCAAGTTTCAAAGAAAAAAAGTATTTTCAATAGTTTTCTCATTACACTTTGGATAAATAAATAAATAAACAAGCAAGCTTTGGGTGGCAAAAATTGATACTAACCCACTTTTGTATGATCTATAAAAGGTGTAGCGTAGTTGTTAATTCAAATGAAGCAACCAGATACAAAACATTATGCTGTGTTGTGCTATGCTGTGTGATGCAGTGCTATGCCATTCTACTAATTGATTAAGCAAATGCTATTGAGCATCTACAAGGTACCAGGCACTATAATTTATTTTATTTATTTCCAAAGTGTTACTCACATCACTCCTATTTTTGGCATTTGTCTTTGCCAGAACTATGTCCATGGCGTCAGGAATGCTGGTGAACTTGTTTTTGTCTGGAGGTTGACGATATTTCTTCTCACTGATGATTTCTGAAGCCCGCTTATTCTTTTCTGCCTCCAAAGAACCCAGGGGACTCCATCCTATGCCTTTCAGCCACTCAAGATCAGACTTATACAGATTCTGTGAAAATACAAAGCAAGCCATCAAAATCCCATCCTCATCTGGACCCTGGACTCAGGTGATTCTACACATTACAAACAGATGCATTTTAGATATTCAATAATAATTCCTCTTTGTAGTTTCTGTCTTTTTAAAACTAAATGGCTACTCCTACAAGATATGAAGTAAAATATAAACATTAGATTTAATATAAACTGACCTCACTCTGTAGTTGATAAACTTTTTTAGCTTGAATAACATCGTTCTGGTCGGGCAGGCATGTCCAACGGTGCAGGTAATTCTTGTAGTCCACATCACTGACCAAGGCCTGACACTGCTTGGCCAGCACCACTCCCAACATGTCCACTGGGCTGCTGTACCTGGTTTTCCATTTCTCAAAGTCCTTCTTGTATTCTCTTTCACTCTGCATTTTGGCTACATTCATGGACAACACAAGCTTTGGATCATCTTGCAGACTCCGGAATCCAATATGGTGGCCGAGTTGCTTGCGGTAGCCTTGTTTGTATTTAAACTGAAATCAGAGGAAATAGTTCTTTTATCAACATAAACAGAAGTCAAGTTAAGCTCAGGTTGGTTTGTTTGCATGTTTGTTTTCCAAAACTGAAATGAGAAAAGGGATGTCTATGTTAACATAGTAAGAAATGTAAAAACTTAAGTGGAGGCTTTCAAAGAAACATAATGTAGTTGAGTATCAAGAAAAGCTATGATGAGAAATTAATTCCAACTAGAGGCAGAAATATATGCTGGAATGTGCTAGATATTTTTTATGCTGACTTTAGGGTAGCATTTGATAACGCTCTTGTGATATCCTTATGGGAATAATGGAAAAGTATGGGCAGAATGGCAGAAAAATTAGGAAGAGGCAGGACTTGATGGGACAGACCAAAGAGTATAGATTAATTTATTAAGCAGCAGGATTTTTAGTGGCTTGCCATATGGTTATGTCATACAAACTTATTCTGTTCAGGATCCATATTTTCATGCACATGTGGCTAAAACCAGCTAAATATGTTAGACTAGCAAGAAAATTCCAAAAGATCTCAACATATTGCCAAGATAGGTCAAAATGGGCTACATAAATTTAAGAGAGTGAAAGTGAAATCCAGTATTTAGATTCAGTTGGGAAAAACTGCATTAGTACTAGATGACAATAACAACAGTGATAATAATAATAGTAATAATAGCATTTACTTGATGTTAGATGCTGAGGACACATTACACCTCACAGAAGGAGGTTCTACTCTCTCATGATATCCAGCTTCATGGTTGTATATATGAAAAATACTCAGGAGTTTAAGTTGACTATAAGCTCAATATGGGCTATCTGAAAAAATTGCTTACAAAAAAGTAGTGTCACAGATTCTGTAATCTATAGTCAATCTCTTGAGTGAGATATTGATTAAATAACCTTTAAGTTATCTTCTAACTCTAAATTCCATGACTCTAATTTATTAAATTGAGTACTTATAAAAATAGCTCTAATTTCCAGAAATTTTATAGATACAAGAACTATTTGAAACTGAGAGAAGATACAATCTCTACAATAGTGGGAAAATTCATTTATAGTTAATTTAATTTTAGGGTAAGATTTCAAAAGGTTCTAACTAATAGGTTCACACAAAAAGAAATCAGGTGTTATCAAAAGTTATGTTGCTGGGAAATTACTGACGCTATTTCTTCAATTCCTAAACTATCTTTACTTTATGGGGAGGACATAACATGAAATGAAAATGAGTTTGCTTTCTGGGGAACATTCAAGTACCATTATTTCCTTAGGTTCATCACCACATAGATTCATTTTAATGAGGTATTGAGCTGCAGGCTGGAGAATGGGTAATAATGCATCATCTAATTTTCCAACACTTCTGAAGTGCCACAAATTAATTGAATTAGAGAGAATCTTCCCTTATATTCTTAGAATTTATTGTCAAATTCTGTCTTTAAACACTCTTTCTCTCCAAACCTAATCTTTGTTATGTTTTGTTTTAAAGCTTTTGATTAAGAGGTTGTGCTTTCCTATGAAATTCTGCTAATTTAGTCCCTAGAATCAAAGTCCTCTGAATTTTTTGCGGTTAATTCTTGGGATTAAGAATGATACCGTTACATATATGCAAAGTATCTAAATAAAATATTTGTAAAAATTTAATTAATAAATAGGAACCTAATCTAGTTTATTCACCAAATTTCCTACCCCTTCCAATCATAACTAGAAGTTAAGTAGGAGAGCAAATATCTTTGTTTTATGAACTTTGGGCCAGATATCCAGCAGAAAGTTAAGCCCTCTGGACCTTAAACCTAAATTCCTGAACTTTCCTGTATTTTCTATGCCCCAAGCTAATTTATTATAATTATGTAAATGCAAGGATGGGCTAAATAAAAAGAACTGGCAGCTAATTTTGTGTGTGTGTGTGTGAGGAAGATCAGCCCTGAGCTAACATCCGTGCTAATCCTCCTGTTTTTGCTGAGGAAGACCGGCTCCAAGCTAACATCTATTGCCAATCCTCCTCCTTTTTTTCCCCCCCCGAAGGCCCCAGTAGATAGTTGTATGTCATAGTTGCACATCCTTCTAGTTGCTGTATGTGGGACATGGCCTCATCATGGCCGGAGAAGCGGTACGTCTGTGCGTGCCCAGGATCTGAACCCCGGGCCGACTGGCAGCTAATTTTTAAATATATGTATATAAAAATCTCTCAACAACAGGTTGTTGCAGTTGATTTATTTCTGGCACTTTGAATTTGTCTCAAGTAGACAAACAGAAAGCAGGAAAATTGTTTTCAGGTGAGTAGGGGAAAACTGAAATCTCTGGTTCCTTTGTAATATCTAGAAACATAGCATCTTAGTGTAATGCTAATGTAATCTTCCTCAACCTCTATTCAGGAAGCCCCTTTTTTGATTCAATCAGTCAGAAAGAAGAGTGAATTTTGGGTAAATGAAGAGGGTAGGAGAAGATGAAGGCACAGCATTACATTTTGAAAGGTAAGGCCTATCTTTAAAAACAGTTACCAGAATTAAGGTACCTGATTCAGATAAAAATATATCCTTATAGAAGTCAAACTAGTACTTACATCACTAGCAATGTCTCTTGAAGCTTTGGCCAACTGTACAGAAATTGCCTCAAGTGGGAGGTCATAGCCTTTCTTCAAAGCTTCTTCCCATCCAAGTTTATAGTGTTTCTAAAAATAAAAAAATTATTCAGCACTATTCAGTGTATATTAAAACCCCAACAGATTATTAAACAAAAGTTTACCTAGAGAGTAGACATCAGATTCTAACATCACCTAACTTACCCCTAAAGATATGGATAAAAATGAAACAAGCTGTTTAATAGAGCATTGACTTAGCATCACATGACCTGGCTTCCATTTCTGGGCTCTGAGACTCCCCCCGCCCCAGTGGTATAACTGAACAGGACCTTTTCTGTTCAAAACAATATGGGCATACCAGGTTCATCAGGTACGATCCGCTGCTGTTAAGTACAATCTGGGCTCACTATTTTGAACATAAATGCTAAAATAATTGATAACAAAAAAAAGTCAGGTGACAAAATTTTAACTATCTAAGTGATAAAAGTAATAGATGATGAAATGCCTTTTATAAAGTGCAATAAATGAGTTAAGCTTTCTGAGTCAGATTCATTGAATGGATGCATGTGCGTTAAAACTGGATAATAATAAAAATAGCTGAAAGTCTTCCAGGACTTACTACGTGCCAGGCACTGTGCTGAGAGCCTTACACAGAATTTCTCAGTTGGTCCTCATAGCAATTCAATGTCATAGGCGCTTTTATGGTCCCAGTTTTAGGGATGAGGATACCAAAGTGTAGATCTGATATTCTACAACTCATAAATGGCAAAGCCAAAACTCATACCAGGTCTGTTTGATGCAATTTTTTCTTTCAGCAACTATTTATTGATTTCCTACTCTGTGCCTGGCACAATGAGTGCTGAGATAAACAGAACAGGCACAGCGCCTGCCCCCATGGAGCATACAGACACAGCTGAGGCTCCTGCTTTTAACCACCATATTTCGCAACTTCCCTAGGCTAGCCAGTTTGAGTCACTCATTTCCACTGCTTCAGCATTTACATCACTTATTTACCATTACATAATTTAATAAATTTAATTAGTTTCAAGCCAAATTTTTATGTAGCTTTACCTGACTGAATATCGTTTGATTCTGCTTGGCTTGTAAAATATCTGGTGTATCTGGCATCACATGAATCTTGGTCTTATCTTTGTTCCAATCAATGGTGTATAAGTGCTAGGAAGTTAAAAAAGAAAACATTTGAAATTTGAATAACTTTTTAGGATAAATAGGAAAGAAAAAATATAACAGAACACATGAATCACTTAATTTGAATTAGATTCAATTAATTTAGTAACTAAAGTAGTATATAATTCAGAAAAGACACCAAAAACAAACTCAGATTTTAAAAAATAGTCTTTTAGATATTTTTCTATCTTCTAGAATGGATTGAAAGTGCTTAAGAAATAGTAATTTAAAAACAAATAATTTCTAACTCAATTAGAAGAGCAGGGGAAATAAAAATAAGACGCAGGCAGCAGAAGAAAGTGATATGGAGGTGTGTTCTGGAACTGTTTGCCGCTGCATAGAAGTGGTGGATCCAAATAAATTTCCCAAACCCGACCCAGAGGCTGCTAGCCCTGCCTCACTGGGAGCTGTGTGGAAGGACGGCTGCTCTCTCTACCTTGTTCAGAGTATGCGCATTCCGCTTGGCAAGAACCATGTCCATGGAGTCGAGCAGCTTCTTAAACTGGAAGTTGCTAGGGTGCTGGCGGTATTTCTGATCACTGGCATATTCAGTTGCTTTCTTGGCCTTCTCCACATCTAGGGAACCAGCTGGACTCCAGCCAAGCCCCTTGTACCATTCATTGTAGTCCTGCTTATATTCATTCTATAAAGAGAAGAGGCGAAGTCTACTTTACTTTATCAATTTAGACACAAAAATGTGGCATAGAAGCCTGTGATCTCCCCTCCCATGCTAGGAATCCAACCATCACCCAGAAAGAAGAGAGCCTTACATCACTCTGTAGGCGATTCATATTCTTGCTCAGCTCGATGCTCATGGCGTCTGGAAGGAGGACGTATTTATGAATCAAGTGCTTGTAGTTGGTGTTGGTGACATTGGCTTGGGCGTCCTTGGCAGCTGTGACACTGAGCATGTCAGCAGGGGTGTGGTAGCTGGTCTTTGTCTTCTCATAGTTTTTTCTGTACTCCCGATCAGATTGCGCCTTAGCCACTTGCATGGAATGGACTAATTTGGGATCATCTTCAAGACTGCGGAAACCAACCATTTTCCCCCTCTCCTTTTCATAATTGTGTTTGTATTTATACTGCGAAGAAAATTTGAATATTTATTCAGAGCAATTCCTTTGGCTAGAAATCATTCTAGTGTCAATATTCTGTATTTTATAAAAAGCGATACTTGTACGGAATTCTACAGTTCACAAAACACATTCACATTTATTTGTGTAACTTTTGTGTGTGTGTGTGTGTGTAACTTGATACAACTATACCTTGTGAGGTAGATAGCAAAGTTATTATTACTGCCCCCACTTTATAGATGAGTAAGCTGAGACCCAGAGAGGTGAGTGACTTGCTAAGGTCGCCAAGGATTAGAACCCAGGTCTTGTGATCATACACTATGCTGACTTCCACATACTCTGTCGTTAACGTCAAAGAGATCTTTAGTAATAGATAATAAGAGTAGAGCAAATGAGAGAAAAAAGCAGAATATTCTACACAGTTTTCTGCTGCCCTGAGAAATCACCCAGCCTGTCTCACTGGTGAGAATAGGCTCAGTTATGAGATACACAACATAATTTTAGAGTAGCTTTATATGCGTGAGACTTGTTTTCTTTTAAGACTCTCTATATTGGTATAATGGGGAAGAAATTTTACTATTTATCACCCAATCTCCCTCTATAGAGAGGAGATGCTGCTACATGGAAAGCTTCTTATTCTGCCTATCTCTTGTGGGTTTGAGTGAGCAAGTTAGGGGATAGGAGCCAGGAGAGCCAGAATACCCCAACATAATAGAAGGAGAACAATTTGGAGTTCTCAGGACAGTGTAGGAGTGGCATAGGGGTGGCTCAGTAGGAAAGATGAAGGGCAGAGATGGAAGAGGATAGAGAAAGTATAACTAGAGGGTGGCTAAGGAAAGAGTGCTCTGAAATGTGCTCCTCCCATTACCCTCAAATCATTAAAGGCTCACTGTGAGTGGATTTCCTGTGGAAACAATCAAATGAAAGAACTGAGTTTCATATAGGTGATGTGTTATGGTAGCGGTGTGTTGGCACACCAGCTCTCTGGGGGATAAAGCCCTAATTTGTAGCGCTTGTCAATTTCTGTGGTGTAAATACTCCCACCATGTCTGATGTCAAGCTACCAATAGTTTAACAACTGGTTTGCAGAATTCCCAATTATTTAATAATCAGTTGTCATGAGCCCAAAAGATCAGCACCCCCAGCTCACCACTTCGTGAGACATCCTGTTAGGAAGACAGAGCCTAAGAGGCTAGAGGCCAGAAATATACAAGTCTTTCACCAAGAAAGCTTGGTGAAAGACTTTGGGCTTCTACAGGCCATAGCTTTGGTGATGGAGATCAAAGTAAATTCACCCAGATCTCATGAGTCAGGGAGCTGATATCTACGTGGTCATAATGTGGGGAGCATTCTGTTTTGCAGAAATATCAGAGAAAACACAAGAGCAAGGCTAAGAAGCATCCACAGAAGAGAATGAGGCTATTGTTAGCAGGCACATTGTTTTCATATTTTATCCACTCAGTGTTTCCGGAATTCAGCCCTTATTATTTTAGTAGATTAGAAACCCCCAGCCAGCTGACTGCTTTCCTTCAGACTTACATCACTTGCAATATCTCTTGAAGCCTTGGCAGCTTTGATAGGAATTGCATCAGTTCGAAGATCATAGCCTTTCTTTTTGGACTCTTCCAAAGAAAGTTTGTAGTGTTTCTGCAAAAGGAGGCAAGGGGAATAGTTTTCTTCTAAAGAGGAAAGTCTGAATTTATTTTAAAACAGCAAACTAGCACTGCAGCATCATTTTTATCTTTCAGCAGAGTGCTACATCAGTGGTTCAACAGCTGAACGTTCTCACAAGTAACATAATTGTGTTTGAAAAACAAAAACCTATTACAAACTCAAACATATCTTCAAGAAACCACGAGAATAAGTAAAAGTTACTGCTCTCTATTAGGTTGTAAATATGCTTTAAAAAATGTGAAAGCCCAATAAGAATGCATCATTCTTATTGATGCATTTTATCAAATGAGAGTCAAGGGAAGACTACAAAACAGCCATACTCTTACATCAAAAGAAAACTTCACTGTTTTGCGATTGACTTTTTTTTTATATAATTGTGTGGATTCTACAATCCAGAAAGAAGTCAGCAATCCCAAATCCCTATGGAATTCATACAGAGAAAAGAAAAAAAACCTGGTAGGATTAGAGGATTTCCTAGCAACTATGGTTAGGATGAGAAAGAAGTGAAATAAAATACCTATGCATTTTCTAACATTAAGCGTTGCATATTCCTTATTCTTTATTATGAGGCTTGCTCCAAGTTTTTCAAAATGTTCCTCTTCCCTTTCCATTTAACTTTTCCCAAGATCTCCTCTTTAGGATCATCTCAAAAGCTTGATGGAGGGACTCTCTAAGAACGAAGGCCTAGGATTCTCATTTCCTTTTTCTCTTTTCCTGACCCCCAAGCCCTTCTCTTCCTGCCAAGTCTCTTAGTTTAATCAGAACTATCTGCCCCTAAAACAAAATCCAACCGCCCTTCAAGTTCCTAACTGCTGGGTCCCAAGCCCCATTGACAGGCCTACTCCAACTCTTAGCAAAGCAAGATTAGAAAGAGAAAGATTCTCATTTCTGGATTCCTGCTATTATTTTCAAAACATTCACTCTCATAATTGAGAGATATTAATTAGTTAATTTGTTTCTACTGGTTCTAATAGGCGAGAAAGATGACAATAGGGAGAATGGTACTCACGTCACTCATGTTAATTGCATTTGCCTTTGCCAAAACAATCTGGGGGATATCAGGCATGATGTGGACTTTGGTCTTATCAGCCTCCCACGCTTGTTTGTAGAGGTGCTAGAAAGAAAAAAACAAACAAACAGTGGAACTTAGTATTTAAAATCTTGAAAGGAGCATGCTTAGGACATATATATCATTGTACATAAATATAAATATTTTATGCATTTTATTAGCTAGATTTTATTTTTAAAAATTTAAATGGAAAAGGTGCCCATTCAAACAGTACAGTGGAGAGGATGGAAGATGGAAGATAAATTGGACTGTCCTCCTATTTTACAGCCTGGTAGTAGCATCTCCATCTTAAAATTTTTTGTGCATATTAAATCCCACATATAGTCCTTTTTTAATATAAGTGAGGTCATATAATACATAATGTTCTACATCTTGCTTTTTTTACTTAATAACGTAGCTTGGACATCTTTTATTCTTCTTAAAATAATTTACTTCATTCATTTAAAGATCTGCAGAGTATTCCAGGAGGAGGTGTAACTCAACTGGTTTAACCAATTCTCTGTTGACAGACATTTAATTTGTTCTTTCCAGGCTTTTTCTACTGAAAGCAATGGTGCCCTAATCTTTGTGGTGGACCTGGAGATGCACCCACCCAAACACCCACTCAAGGAAAGACTTGTTGTCCCAACTGTTGGCAGATAGCCTCCAGCTGTCACCTGCTTCAGGGTTTGCTGCCTCACTCAAGAGCACGCTCTTCCCTGGTGGCCACATTCAGTGACTCATCAAAGAGGGGGTATAAAGGCCTGGCCATTTCTGCCCAATGCAGAATGCTTCCGGCAGGCCATATACACTCGAGAGCCCTCTGTGGGGTTGGCCTGGGCTTTGCATGGCCTGTATCACTGTTGGACCTCTCCTTCTGCCCAGTCCTCCCCTCCACAGGTACTGATCCCAAAAAAATGCCCCATACTCCAAATTCCATCTCAGCATCTCCTTTTGCAGACCCTAGACTGCAAAAGTATTATTGTATATATACATATGCATGTATATCTTTGTATGTATGTATATCTTTGCATGTATATAAGGATTTCTGCAGGGTATTAGGCATCTGAATTTTTAATTTTAACAAATAGTAACAAAATTTTGACTAAAAGTTTACATTAACTCCTTTGCCAATATTATAAATAACATAAATTTTTAATCTTTGCAAATCTGATAGTTGAAACATGCTATTTCTTTGTTTTTGCCAGGTTTAATTAAAAAACAAAAACAAAATTCTTCTAGAGTCTTCTTCTAGATCAGGGGTTAGTAAACTTTTTCTGTAGAAAGCCAGATAGTAAATATTTTAGACTTTGTGGGCCACAGAATCTCTGTTATTAACTACTTAACTCTCTTGTTCTAGTACAAAAGCAGTCGTGGATGATACGAGAATGAATAGCTGTGGCTGTGTTACAATAAAATTTTATTTGCAAAAACAGTCTGACCTCTGGTCCAGACGAGCACAATCCAATAGAACTATCTGCAATGATGGAAATGTTCTCTGCAATCCAATACAACAGCCCCTAGCCACATGGGTCTACTGGTCACCTGCAATGTGGCTAGTGTGAATATTATTTCATTTTAATTAATTTAAATTTAGATCACCAAATGCTACTAGTGGTTATAGCATTGGACAGCGCAATTCTAGTAGAAAGAGCAATTAGCTAGTCATCAGAGTCCTGGTTCTAGTCCAGACCCAGTCATTGACCTGCTGTGTGTCTTTAAGGGAGGTGCCTTGCCTCTCTGGGCTGCACTTGACTCAAATCTGCAATGAGAGGATTCAACCTGATGATCACCAAGGTCTCTCTCAGTGTTGAAAAAAATGAAAGATTTAATTTAATATTTAAAAAATAAATGTATGTTTGTGATAGTTTAAATTCTAAATCTTAAAAGGTTTACTGAGATTTGTGTCTTGTCTTTTAGGCCAGTTCCTTTCAAGGAGGTTGCACTTCTTGACAAATTTGTCTGTTTTCTCTCTCAGAAGACTCCAGGGGATTTACTCAGAGAGTTAGCGTAATACAGCTCGATCTTTCTAGCACAACTAGGACCATCATTTTCTGCAACTGTTTCATGATCAGGTCCAAATAATTTTTTCCCCTTTTTTGCTAATCAACGGCATTTCTAATTGTGATTCACACAATATAACCAAAGCCGCTGCAATTATTTTATTATTTGTAACCTAAAAACTGGTGTCCAAGGTTGATGCGCTTGTTGATCCTGAAATCAACTTACGGCTAGTAATTGTAAAACTATAGTAAATCTTCTCTAAAGGCTGGAATCATTAATGATCCAAGGAAGTACTCGTGGAGAACAATTGCTCTCAGGATTGCCCAGAGAAGGTCCTGGCTCAGAATGCTGCTGTAGCCATGTAATCTGGGAGTTTTCTTTTATTCCATCAAAGCAGCAAGGGAGCAGGGGGTGGGCTGCAACACCCAGCTGTTATCAGCCAAACAATCTGCAGATTCAGCATCGTGAACTTCTACTCAACTTCACCTTAGATAATTTTCAAGAATTGTATTAAAAGAAAGAGTCTATATTTATTTTTTTACATCTATTAGGTAAGGTGGTTCACTGAACATTTTGGGGGGGCACTAATTCGAACCATTGAACATGGGGGGGACTTTTTTTTAACTACAAGGCCCTTTTTCAAGGTAGAGTGAACATTAATTATGATGCCCTAAAACTGTTAGCAATACCTGTAGATTAAATGTAAGATACGCCTGGATTCTTCCTGATGCATATGAAACACTCCATTATTGAAAGACTTACTTCATTCATAATTTTTGCATTTTTCTGGGCCAAAACCATGTTCATTGAGTCCATCAAGGTGGAATACTTCAAAGTGTCCGGGTGTTGGCGGTACTTCTTTTCACTAACAATCTCCATGGCTTTCTTGTTTTTCTCAGCCTCCAGTGAGCCCAGAGGGAGCCATCCAACGCCCTTCATGAAGTCGGCATAGTCAGCTTTGTACTGATTCTGCAAAAGAGGAAAGGTTCTAGGATGAAAGGAAACCACAACTTTCAAGAACCATGAGTGCATGTTAATATTTCATAAGTTCCACTTCAGTTTTCAACCAATAATACATTGAACTTCAACTATTTTTATCCCTCAACTTTTATCTTTTTTTACATTTCCCTGCATAAGAAATTAAAAATAAGCAATAATATCTTTGTGATTTATATGTTTTTCTCAATGCCTTCATAAAGAAAAAGTGCTAAGAAATATCAAATTAATATCAGGTTAATCTGCCATGTGACTATTATCTCAAGAAAGGTAACTATGCTGGCCTGACTGACTTACAAAAATTCCCAAGTTCCCTTGGTTAATAGATGACTTACGGAGACTCCATTTCTCTTTTCACTATAAATCTTTGATCATCCACCACCATTACAACTCCCTCAGGCATGCCAGAAACCTCACTGGTACTTCGCACAAATTTCATTTGTTTCCCCTCAGTTCTGGCATTTTCCTCTACAGCTATACCGTGGTTGCTTCCATTTGGGCACTTGTGTACCTCCCTGGCAGCTAATACATTCCCAAGAGAAATGTAGGCTTGGCGTGGTCTGCCTTTGGTTCCTAACTTAAATTCACTTCTCCCAGCCACCAAATGGCTTCTGTAGCTGAATCCTTGGCTCTCGACTCTCTGCGCCTTCCTCACACTCATTCTGATAGCAGCTTCGGCCACGACCTCCTCAGTATCTCACCATTAAGTAAGATAGGCAGTCACAAAGGTGGAAGTAGTGGAATGAGAGCTGCTTGGAAGTGAGGGGCAGGAGCTATCAAGTTATCTGCCTTTCTGCTTTCCTTCTTACTCCTTTATCAGGAGCCCTTTATGTTTCTGACTCTGTTTGCTAGACATATTTCCTTCAACATGTTCTTTCTGAACCAAATTTCATTTGCTATTGCTGAATCCAGCATCCAACAATGCTCACAGCAATAAGAGAAGAAAATGAGACTTCAGTTTCTAGAAACTGTTCCTCTTTTGTCAAAGAAAATAAATCCAACCTAAGGTAAAAAATGAAACACATCATTGGGAAATTGCGCATGAATTTCTTCCAGGATTTTCAAAGTGTCATTACTTATGGTCGTTCATGATTTGCTTATTATCTAGAGTAAATGCTCTGCAAATGTTGTGGCTGCCACCTACATCACTTTGAATCTGCATCATATTTTTGGCCAATTCAAGGCTCATGGCGTCAGGGAGCATGTTGTAGCTGTGGATCACGTTCCTGTAGTTGGCGTTGGTGGCCACTTCCTGAGATTTCTTGGCTGCCACCACACTCAACATGTCCACCGGGGTGTGGAAGGACGTCTTGGATTTCTCATATCCCTTCTTGTATTCCCGGTCTGACTGCATCTTGGCCACCTGCATGAAGTGCACCAACTTGGGGTCGTCCTCCAGGCTCCGGAAGCCAATTTGTTTCCCTTTGGTCTGTTCATAGGCTTGCTTGTATTTGTACTGTGGACGGAAATGAAAGCATAGTGATGAAAATGGTGAAGGAAAGAGAACAAATTATAATTCACTAGATGCCACTAGCTTTGCCATAGGTGTAGGGTTTTAGAGCTGCTCTAATCTTAGAAAGGGAAGAGCTCACGAGGGTCAGGGAGGAAAATGCTTTTACTTCAAATTTCTTGACAGACTTGAGTCCATGGAAAGAAAAGCATCTCAGAGTTAATCAAACAGGTGTGTAAATAAATTGTTTTAGGGTGATTTAGAAAGCAGATTTTCCCATTCAGCTGTGTAACCTGCAGAAAAGGCTGCAGGCATGATTCCTCATGTTGTATCTTTAGATTCAGGAAAGAGCCTACCCATGGGTTTCCTGGGTAAAACGTGTAGCTTGCATCCATGTGTTTGCTTAGAAATGATTGGAATACTTTAAGAGCAACTTATTTTAACAAGACCCAGTCACTTTTTACATTAAATAATGAACAAATGATTAGAGGGTCCTTGGACTGGGTGAAGGGACGTGTCTTATGTGTTATACAGGTTGATGGTCCCACCAACACTGAACAGAGCTGACTGCAGCTCCTTGCACACACACATGCTTGGCTCATTTGCTCTTATTCACTCAGCCTAATGAAGGCCCAGTGGAAGCACTTACATCACTGGCAATGTCTCTAGAGGTTCTTGCAGCCCTTATTGGGATAGCATCAGGCCTCAGGTCATATCCTTTCTTCTTTTCTTCTTCCCAGTCAGCTTTGTACAGTTTCTAAATGATGAAATAGAAAAACACCAGCATCTTGTTATTTGGGTTAGAATAGGGATCTTGATTTCAAAGTGGTGACATGTAGAAGACAGACATTCCATAAATATTAGCTCCCTTCAATCTTCTCCCCCACTTTTGTCGTTGTTGATCTACTTACATCACTCATGGTGATTTGGTTTACTCTGGAGAGTAAAATGTCTGGAGTATCGGGCATGACGTGAATGGTGGTCTTGTCTTTGTTCCATTTCTCAGTGTAACGCCTCTACAACAAGAAGGGTAGGCATGTGATTGGACAGCAGGACAGGTTTGTAATGTGCTGTCAAGAGGAGGAGACCCACATCTCCATGGTAGAAGAGGTTATATCTGACATTGGAAAATGGATGAAATAGCAAAAAAATGGGCTGATGAGCCTGGACACACAATGAGAAAAAAATCATCACACAAGGGAATCCTCTTCCACTGAAACAACAAATGCCATCTTGCCCCAACTTCACACCACATGGAGTTTTGCGGTTCTGTCGCATCCTCAGCGTGGTGTTGATAGATAGCCTGAGGGTCAGTATAAGTGAGAGCTCTCTAGAAACAACGAAAGTTATAGAATGCCCCCTCCCACCACCACCACCACCACCACCACCACCACCACCACCACCACAACCATCAGAAAGATTAAAACACTGACGAACACCATAATGGCACTGCCAGGCTCGATGGCATGAGCACTAAAGGGTTCTCGGGCTGAGGCCAACAGATGAGTTCTTACCTTATCCATATTCAGTTTGTTACTTTTGTTAAGTGCTTGTTCCATTGTGTCCATCGCATATGTGAACTTCAGCTTCTCAGGGTGCTGGCGATACTTCTTCTCACTAAGAATCTGTCCTGCTTTCTTTGCCGTCTCCACCTCCAGCGACTCTATTGGGATCCACCCGATCCCTTTCATCCAGTTGGTGAAGTCAGATTTGTATAGATTCTTTACAGCAAAAAAGGATATTTTCATTTCAGAAAGAGTCAGGGCATGGGTTTCTTTGGCTAGATGATTTACTCATTATCAAAAAGAAAGAAAGGGGGGACTTTTTGGAAAAAATTAGTTATAAAAGTGATTATATTCCCGGTAGTTTTGAACAGGAAATCCTGACCCAATAATTCCTTTAAAAAATTAACTTTCTTGCAGGAAAAGTTAACAGAATTTTGCACTGAAAGGGATATTATATCGCACCCATTTGAACCTCTTAGTTTTTCACAAAATGCATCATCTATTAGTTCTAACATCCAATGCTTTAAAATATACATACAATAACCAAAAAAGAAAAAGCTACATATGGTTCAAATGAGTGAAATCCTAAAACTCCAAATTCTAGAGAGGATCCTTAAGTAGAGTGAGTCCAGCCAGGTTTAGGATGGAGTAAGAGGAATTGCTGATTTCTTGTTCTTCACTCCCACTAGCTAACTAATTAGGATAACTAATTCTATGTTGACCATTTGTTGACTGTTACATACATCACTTTGAATCTGCATCGCGTTCCTGGAGTGCTCCACGTTCAAGGAATCGGGCAGCAGAGTGTAGCTGTGGAAGGGCTGCCTGTAGTTGACGTTGGTAGCAACCTCCTGAGATTTCTTGGCCGCTGTCACACTGAACATATCCAATGGTGTGTGATACCTGGTCTTGCTGGCTTCATAGCCCTTCTTGTACTCACGATCTGACTGCATTTTGGCTACATTCATGTAGTGAACCAGTTTAGGATCATCCCGAAGACTGAGAAATCCAATTTGCTTGCCTTTGGCTTTCTCATAGGCCTGCTTATATTTGAACTATAGAAAAGAAGGGCAGACAGAAGTTTGATAGGGTAGATTGGAGGAAACACTAAAGTGTTAAATCAAATTTACATAGCAAATTAGCAATAGCCAAATTCAGTCTGACTCTAGATAATGTCCAAGATTTTAAGTATTTTTAAATAAACAACTAGCAAAATATTTCTAATGGATGGTATTGAGATCTGCTCTGGGGATAATTAAGAATGGAATAATTTATAGTTTGTATCTAGATGATTCATAAGTAGATTCTTTGAATATGCTCAAAGGTTCCTGAAAAGATTTTTTGTTAAGGATTTGTTATTTTTTTTTATTATTATTATCTGTTTCCATGATTAATTTGCAGTGTCTTATAAAGTATTTGCATAACCCTAAGTAATTTTCAGCAAAGCCCTTATACAAATTAGTATATTGGACTCCAAATGAATGAGTTTTTACTCTATCAAGGAATTATATCAGTTCATATAGAAAATATAACTTACTTTGTAAAAAGTAATTAAGTAAGTAAGTAACTACATAAATAACTAAAATCTTGTCATTTAATCTACAATTCTTCCTGGTTTTCCGTATTTAACCAGAACTATTCTTTGTAAAAATTATATTATTAAAAAATTGTATTCCTTTAAAATACTTGGAGACTTTTTTGATTTAGTGACATTTTGGTATACCAAGGCTTTTTTTCTTGACAAAATGCAAACAAAAAGCAGTTTTTTGGGGGTTTTTTGCTGAGGAATATTCGCCCAGAGCTAACATCTGTTGCCAATCTTCCTCTTTTTTTTTTCTTGAGGAAGACTAGCCCTGAGCTAACATCTGTGCCAATCTTCCTCTTTTTTCTTCTCTTGAGGAAGACTAGCGCTGAGCTAACATGTGTGCCAATCTTCCTTTATTTTGTATGTGGGTCACCACCACAGCATGGTTGACAAGTGGTGTAGGTCCACCTGGGATCTGAACCCGTGAACCCGGGCTGCCAAAGCAGAGTGCATCGAACTTAACCACTATGCCACAGAGCCTGCCCCAAAAAACAGTTTTCAAGTTCATAACAATGATACTAATGAGAGTTCCAAATATTTCACAATTTTAAAAAAAGAATTTTCTTCTTTGTAACAACTGTATTGAGTTTTTAAAGATTTTTAATTGAAGCAACATAAAAAAAATCATTGGCACTTAGGATATTACGAAATATTTTTACACTATAATTTTTTATTTCCTTCCTAATATAGCTCATATAGCCTCACATACCATATAAAGATTTTTAAAATGTAGAGAAAGTGCATTTACTACTTTCAAATTAGACTTACATCGCTAGCAATATTTCTTGAACTTTTTGCAGCAACAATGGGAATGGCATCTGGTCTCAAATCATAGCCCTTAGCAATGGTTTTCTTCCAGTCTGCTTTATAATGAGCCTTGAAAACAGGAAAGGTTATTTTATTACTTGACATAGTTAAAAGAAGAATGAAACAGGATACCAAAATCTTTCTTATAAAACATGGCATAATATATCCCTTTCTAGTAAGATAATTTACAGAGTTAGGGCTATTCGTTCATCTTTTATGTGTCTATCAGATTGTTTTAAAAAACATCAGTAAACTATACACACAGTATGATCTCAACTGCTTTAAAGATGTATATATGTTTGCATAACAAAGCAATGGAAAGGTAATGTGGAATAACAGAAGATTTTAAGTTTTTTCATGGTTTTCTATATATCTCAACTTTTCTGTAATAAGCATGTAATACTTTTATTTTCTTATATTTTTTCTAATGAACATTTTAAACTTACAGGAAAGTATGGATACTAAAATAAAAAATTCAGATGTAGTACCACCCAGTTTGAATTAACCTTAACATTAAATATTACTTAATCAAAGCAGGAAAAAAATTTTAAATAAACAAAAAGCATAGAAATGAGTACCAAAAAATGTTTATTTGGAGATAAAAGAGAGTCTAAAATGTTAGGAAGAATGACTAAGGCATCTTTAAAGAAATTAATTTTATCCAGGTTTGATTATGTTTTAAAATTAGAATTTACCAACTCTTTTTTAAAAAAAGCAAAATGAAACAATTCATAATAGTGAATTTAAACATCACCACCAATTACATACTTAGACTACCTGAGAGAGCAGCTAGTTACACACAAAAAAGAGTTTCTAAAGGAAATTACAGTAAATGTTTTTAGAAGTTTTAACAAATAACTGAAACAAAAGTTACATAAAGCAATACCTATCCTTACTACAGACTATTCACTCCTGTATGAATACAGGAGGAAAAACTCCTGTATTTTCCAATCTTGTCTATCTCATTTTGTTCCTCTTTTTAAAAAATGGAATGCAACCTACTAGATTGGTTTTATAACCAATGAGTCATAGCCCACAGTTTGGAAAAGTCTTCATTAAGCAAAATTTTATGGTGGCTTCTAGTCTCATATTCTGTGACAAGGGTCCAATCTGGAGACTGTTGGTAGGCCCCTGTACATGGAGAGCAAGGAGGGACTGAAGAAAGAGGCAGACTACTCCAGACTGGTAGGTGGCAGATTTGATAAGCAAGGGAACTTACTTACATATGAGGCTTGTCTTGGGCAGCCACAAGACAAGTAGATCTCCACACCTGCCCACCAGACTCTTAAATGTTTATATAAAGTACTTAATGGGGGTTCAGTCACAAATATAATCCAGATGGTCTCAGTAATACCTTACTTTCTCAAGGCTAAGTCCTTGAAAATGGTTCCTACTACGGGAACAGTGGGCAGAGCATACATTCCAAACACAAGGGAGAGGGTGAGGAGCCTCTGATCGCCAGAGTCCAGCTCTCAGGTCAACCAGCAGTCACATCCTCTTGACGAACTCCTCCAAAAGAGACTCAAAGGGTCCACACTAGTTTGCTCCCCTTAAAATTCTCAGCCTAAGAGTTACGAAAAACTGGAAAGGAGAGGCCCGCATAAGCAATATTAGACGGGCACCAGGCCAAATACTCACATCACTCATGTTGAGGGCGTTGACCTTGGCTTGAATAAACTGAGGCAATCCGGGGTCCATAGTATACTTGTGCTTCAGTTTCTCCCCCTCCACCTTGTAGTTCAACTAAAAATAAAGGAAGCAGCATGCAAACGTCATTAGCTGACATAATGTAAGTTTCATCTAGCACACACTCCTTTAAAAAGGGAAGGCTATTATTTGGGTTTTTCCATAGACAAGGCAAATACCTATACTGTCACCCACAGGTGGCATTAGTTGACATATTCATTTGCTCATTCCACCAATATTTATTGAACAGCACTGTGGGCCAGGCAGGGTGGTAGGTTCTGTGCTTAAAGTATTGAAAAAGGCAGACCAGTTCTGTTGAAGCTTATAGTCCAGAGGAGACAGACAATAAACACGTAAACCATAAGATATAGCCAGAATGTGGTGTGATGTGTTGTAAACAGAACAACTGCAGGAAAGAAACAAGTGTGGTCCGCAAAGGCTCTCTAAGGAGGTAACATTTATGCTTGAGCCTAAAGAAAGCGGAGGGGTCCAGGCAGAAGAAGAGCATTCAGGACTCTGAGTCTGGAAAGGCCATGACCAGCTTGAAGGACCGAAGGCAGCCCTTATCACAGTGCTGGAGAGTGCCGACGGGGGCCAAGAGGATTAGACAGGACGGGGAGCAGGGCCATAGAGCTGAGGGCCTTTTCAGCCAAGTTAACAAGTTTAGATTTTATTTTAAGTTAAAGGAGAAGTTACTAAGAGATTTTAGGTATAAGAGCGAAAGGATTGATTTATGTTTTAAGACCGTCTCCCCGGTTGTTGTGTGTGACCCCAGGCAGGGAGTCCAGGCGGCTATTGCAGTTGTCCAGTTGAGTGATACGGAAGCCAAAACTGGGGTTGTTGGCAGCTGCAAGACAGAGAAGTGCTGAGAGACATTAGGAGGTTGACTCAGCAGATTTATTGGATGTGGGGGTTCACCCAGGGAGGCGTCCGTGGTGACTGCCAGGTTTCTGGCTTGAATAACTAGGTAGATGCTGATGGCATTTACTAGGTTGGGGAAAACAAGTAGTGAGCGTACAGTAGCTAAGTGGAAAAACACAGGGAGAAGTGACACCTCAGTCAGTACAAAAGTAATCAGAAGAATCTATACCATTTATTTCCACGAAACTAGAATTAATCTTGAAATGTCTGTGGTAATATGGAAGCAGGGACTGGCCTGAGAAACAAAATCCACAGATAATCCTCAAATCTGAGCCAAGCAAAGCATTCCCCACCTTCCAATACCTGGGGCTAAAAACACAAAAGGTCATCCCTTCTTTGCTTTTTACTTACCTCTCTCTTTCTGGTGGGGTTATTTGAATAGAACTCTGAAATTACCAAATGAGGTGAAGCACTGAGCATCGTAATGAGCCTTGAGCTAAGAATAAGGATCCAGATAGACCTGGGCTCAGAAATGAGACTTTGGATGACTCTGAACGTAAACTGCTTATCTCCACCCCAGAGGCCTCTCTCTGGATCTCCTCTCAAAACACTGAGCTATTATACAAGGGGATTAGGACATTATGCCTTCTCTCCGTGCAGCTAGGTAGAACTGTTGCAGCCCAGAGGAATAAATAGCTTGGTCTGCAATTCAGACAGTGACAGATGCTAATAGAAATAATTTCATCTCATATGTATAATGGGCAGGGATCTGCTTATAAATAGCACAGACTCTCTATATTTGGAAAATAAAGCAAATCTGGAATCTCTTCCTTCTCCCCTCCCCGTTCTCTTTATGTTCAAGTTCCATGTTGCTTCAAAAATAAAACCTTTCAAATATACCTCTGAAAGCAGTTGATTTGGTAACATACATGCACCCTCACGTGCTGAATTAAGAAAGATGGCGGAATAGTTCAGTCACAGGGGTTATTCACAAACAAACACTTTTGAAGGGAAACCACTTACATCACTTAGCTGCTTTGTGTTGTGCTGAGCCAGAACCATGCCCATGGAATCAGGCACACTTGTGAACTTGATGGTATCTGGGTGCTGTCGATACTTCCTCTCATTTAATGCATCGCCTGCTTTCTTGGCCTTCTCAACCTCCAGAGAACCAAGAGGCAGCCATCCAATGCCCTTGAAAAAGCTGTTGTACTCGTCTTTATATAGGTTCTGTAAAAGAGTAGTCTCATATGAGGAGATAGCCTAGAGAATATGCAAGAGATGTTTCTGAAATCTGCAGTTCTACCCGGGGGAAACGAACAGCACCTCTTCTGGCATGCTCGTGTCTGTAACGGAGCTCTTGACTATGTCTGTCTCAGAGCTTCTTACCCAGAATTTGGTAACAAGAAAAAGCAGTTCTGTTGTTAGAGTGCGTTATACAACAGAGAGGGAATCTAGGCCACATATTTCCATGGGTACTGCTAAAGAAAAATTGTATCTCTTTTGACAAGAAATTGGGCTTTCCTTTTGATTTCACTGAAAACTCCACAACTTCGAATTTCACCCACACTGTCATCAGGCTATTCCTGATCTCAGTTGGGGAGAGACATTTTCATTGAGCAACAGTAAATGAACACCATTTCTTCCCTTCACAGAGGACAATTCTTGCAGAAGTCTGGCTCCTGCAGAAGGAAATGAAGTGAATATTAAATACCCTCCCTATGCACCTCTCCATGAGTCATGCTGCTTCACGAAGCCTTCCTGGCTCATTTCAGATGACTCATTACATAGATTTACATGTATGAGAGTGTGACCTTGAGTTAAAAAAAGAAAAAAATAACTTTCCTGAATTCAGAAAGCATACAGAATGCTTCTATTTTGCATTAGACATATCACCATTGAAGCAGACCTGCCAGGAGCAATCATTTCTGCTTGCTGAGAGTCATAGTGGCTTATATACTTAGTGGAATATGGTTTTATCTTTTTTTTTTTTTTTTTTTTTTAAAGATTTTATTTATTTATTTTTCCCCCAAAGCCCCAGTACATAGTTGTCTGTCATAGCTGCACATCCTTCTAGTTGCTGTATGTGGGACGCGGCCTCAGCATGGCTGGAGGAGTGGTGCCTCAGTGCGCACCCGGGATCCGAACCCGGGCCGCCGGCAGCGGAGCGCACGCACTTAACCGCTAAGCCACGGGGCCGGCCCCTGGTTTTATCTTTGATTCATAAATTAATAAAGACAATGTCAATCGTTACAATAGGAGCACAGAAAGTCAGCAAAAACAGCTTGTGCCCCATGCCTTTGTTAGTCTTTCAATAATGATTGTTTGTTTTAAAGTATATTTTTCTAATATCTTACTGTATTGTGAAGTCTACTAAAATAGCAAGAAATGCTCATCCCTTAAGTACCAACATCTCCGGGTCTGTATGTCGTACACACTTACATCACTCTGAATTTGATTCATATTCCTGGTGTGCTCCAGACTCATGGCATCAGGTAGGTATGTGTAATGATGTATTGGCTGTTTGTAGTTGACGTTGGTGGCGACATCCTGGGCCATCTTTGCAGCTGTAATGCTAACCATGTCCCTAGGGGTGTGGTAGCTGGTTTTGGTGTTCTCATAGTTCTTCTTGTATTCACGATCGGACTGCATCTTTGCCACATTCATATAGTGGACCAGCTTGGGATCATCCTGGAGGCTTCTAAAACCCACATGCTTTCCCTTTGACTTCTCGTGAGCTTCCTTGTATTTATACTGCGGAGGCAGAATTTGGTTAGCAAAATCATAGGCATTGATAACAGTAGATGCAGTAATTATATTCACACACAAAGGCACTCAGAACACTGTGAATTTCTGGAAGATTGTACAAGAAAGGCAAACCATACCCCCAGAAAGTTCAGAGTGAAAGCACTTCTTTCCAACAGTCCCAGGTTACAAATGGGTATCATAATAAATTCAGGACAAGTTTCTTTTCTTTGCTATAAATCCTATAGATGATTTGCATGTAGAACTTTATTTAAAGCCAATTGAATTGTCACACTTAATATAAACCTGACACATTTCAAATTTAAGACCAATACCTCTTGGGTTTTCCAGGGATGTGTATCTTCCTAATCCAGTGTTATTTCATATCATGGAATATTAGATATTATTGAGAAAATCTTCCATTTTCTGTGCCAATTGGCCTTGTGATATGTGCACAAAAGGTGCAGAAGAAACTCTAAAGAACGGTACATGCAAGACATTAACACTCAGATCTTCTCGGGGTGAGGAGCGGAAAACAGTACTGTCATTGTTGTCTCAGGTTGACCTAATAGGATTAAAATGAAAAGACTCTTCTCCCTAGGTGGCGTCAATTTAGATGCTGCATAGGCATCGTTCCGGGCCTTCACCCAACCAATTCCTCAGCAATTACTCTCCAAGTTCACTACTGAAGCAGCTGCAGATGAATTAAGGAACTACAGCAAGGGCAGGAACCACTGGGGGCTTTCCCCATCGGTAAAAACCTAACCACAAAAGCTCTGCTGTTCAAGCTCTCTCGTGGCTGGAATCGGCAATGGGCTGTAGACTGAGCTACGCTGTATGAAACAGGTCAACACCTCAATTTTTATATTGGAGAATTCAAATCCACCTAAGCTCTGCAGACACTCTGCTCCTGCCATTTAAGCACCTATTTATAAACAAGAGTTTAACAGGCAAAAGGATTATCAAGTAATTTCTAGTCATATTAGAAAAAAAATGATAACGTAAACTTCAAACTTCTACTTTCTCCTTAAACGAGAAATGTATTTCATAGTGATGTGCAAACCTTTGAGGAATACATTTTCAGTACCATCCCCACCAGGAAAGCTGTAGAATTCTTACACCCCTATCTCCCACGTGGTCTGTACACATGGGTGGTTTCTTTCTTCTCATCTCTCAAACCAAGACTGTAGCCCCTGGAATAGTATGTGACAGTGATGCCTACAGGGCATGCCTGCTTTTTGAAAATTTTGTTTTTCAATGATGGGAAGGCATATAAGTGTATACTTTTTCTATTACAGATGAAGTGGGCATCAATTTACATAAATCAAAATTATACTCTGGAAAAGTGGGCTTTTTCCCATTTGGTTTATAAAATCTGTACATTTTATATTAACGTCTTTTCAATCTTCTTAATACAACTATAATGCAGGCAGTCATCTGAATTTAATGTGTTAGTGTCAGTCAGGGTGTTCTCACCGAAAATAAATGTGGGCTGTCAGGGAAATGTGTCAGTGAAGGCAATTTGGGCTATGAATCAGGGGAGAAAGCCACTGTCCAATTTATGACAGTTCTACCAAGTGGGGTCAACTGAAAAGAATCACAAAACGTTGAAAAAGTGACAGGTTTTCAAAACAATATTTCATGGAAAATTCGAATGTCATTAACTCAAGATATTGTTTTCAGTGTGGTATCATTTAAACAAGCACACATTTGATTACTTTTTAAAAAGGCAATCACCCAGATTTCACCTAAAATTTTTACTCACATCACTGGCAATGTTTCTTGATGCTTTGGCCGCAGTGATGGGAATAGCATCACCCAGCACATTGTTGCCTTTGGCTATTAAATCATGCCAGTCCCGTTTATAACAGACCTGGAATGGGAAAGAAAAAAAGATGTCAGCATGCTGTGTATTAATCAGCTAAAGTGATTCCTCAACTGCTGGGACTGTTTTGTTCTTTTCCAAATATAAGCTAAAGGAATCTCTTATAGCACATACTGTTTTAAGAAGCTACATTAACAAATTTCACACTTTGTATACCATGAAATTATTGGATTCTGCACTAATTATTCACCCAAATATGGTTTTGGCACATACTGAAGAGGGATATTGAGAAACTGGAGTAGGTACAGAGGAGAGTAACAAAAGTTCTGGAAACCATGGTATGTGAGGACTAACTGGAGAAAATTAAGTTGTTCAGTACTATGAAAGGAAGGTCAAGCGAAGACCTGGTAGGTAGCTTGAGAAATTTTAGGGTTGTTGTGAGAAAGAATTTCATTTATTCTTATTTTTTTGGAGGATAATAACCTCCTCCATATGCAAAACTAGGAAAACTAAGTAGAATTTTTAGAGAAATAGATGCTGGGTTCTACGTAAGGAAGAATGTTATATCCTTTAGAGTTGTCCTACACTTAAAAAGGCCAACTCAAGAGGTAGAGCCATCATCATGAGATATGCTCCAATGGGGATTATGTGGGAAATTGACCTACATACTTGTCAAGGCCCCATCCTAATCTAAAATTCTATTATTTTATTGTCAGGTCTGGATTTCACGCCCTATCAAAGACCCTACTTACATCACTTATATTGTAAGCATTGCACTTGGCCTGGAGAAACTGAGGAAGATCAGGACTCATAGTGTACTTATGTTTCACATCTTCTCCTTTAGCTTTGTATAAGACCTGCAACACACAGTCACAAAAATAAAATGCATACGGGTAGTACAAAAAGGAAACTATATTAATTGCATGCTTAACAAAGTTATTCCTAGCACAATGCCCCTCTATTTCTATTGTTAAAAATTATCAAAGGCATTTTCCTATTTTTAAGAAATGCAAGTATCTTGCTATCTTTAGGAAGACCCAACAACTCTGTGTATTATAAAAGAGACAAAAAAATCCTTAAGAAAACAGAAATCTTTGACTGCCAGAGATGAATGGAAAATAAGTGCAAACGCAAACACTAACATGAATAATAGAATTCACCGAAGCCGGAAAAGCTCCTTCTTTGCTAGTGGAGTTAATAGTTCCTAGAGTCTTGTTTTTTGTTTTTGGTTTTTTATTCCAAGAAAAAATGGTAGTTAGAATGAGTCTTTCACTTCTGCTAAAAACTTTCCACTAGTAATTGTATCAGTAAAAGCATATAATAATTTCCTCATAATATCAAGGTGCTTATACATAAATCCTGTATACTCTAAAGATTTACTATTTCATTTACCCTCTTTTGTAATGTTAAAGATGTCTGAACAACATCAAAGTATATGATATAAAAATCACACTGTATCCTCCTCTTGCTAATGGAAAAGAAAATGCTTAATTTCTAAAACTAAAACAGAAGTAGAATCACAAGTAGATTTTCAATCTCTTGTCATTTATCATGTATACCCCCCTTTCCCAGGCATGTCTGTGTGGAACATCATAAGTAAACTGGTGTGTATGTATCACAAGTAGTCTGAAATGGCTGATATCTAAATGTATCCCCAAATACTAAATAATTTCTTCGCGAAATCCAAGAGCTATCTTTACTTCCTCACTGCCTTTAAAGATTTTATTTATTTATTTTTTCCCCCAAAGCCCCAGTAGATAGTCGTATGTCATAGCTGCACATCCTTCTAGTTGCTGTATGTGGGACTCAGCCTCAGGATGGACGGAGAAGTGGTGCCTCGGTGCACGCCCGGGATCCGAACCCGGGCCGCCAGCATCGGAGCGCGCACACTTAACCACCAAGCCACGGGGCCAGCCCCCTCACTGCCTTTAGAAACCATATATAAGCATTCACAGAATCCCATTCATTTGACTTTCTAAACATCTCCTTTCCCGTTGCTACTGCCTTAGTTAAAGTCCAAATAAGCCTTCTATTGCATTTCTGTAACAGCTTCCTAATTCATCTCCTTGCCTCCCATCTCTCCCCTCTCCAATACAGTCTCTGCACTTTTAGCCAGAATTATCTTCTAAAACACAGACCTGATAATGCAAGTCCATGGATTAAAAATCTTCAGTACCTCCTGTTACCTAACCCGTAATGTCCAGACTATAAATTAGCATACAGGACCCTCAATGACCAGGTTACAATCCCAAACCCTTCACTGTCCTTCCATTCATTACTTCGTGACTGTCATCATATTTTTCCTTTTGCCAGAAACACGTCCTTCCTTTATTTTCCAGGAATGCTTGGGTAGATGGTTACCCTCTTCCCTTGTGCTTACTTACTTAGCACATGCCTCTCCTGGAGCATTCATCTCTCCATGTGACAATCCATGCCTTAGTCTTATACTCTTGTCCTATAACTTTGTTATATCCTATATCCCACTAATCCTCCTCTAGTTCGTCTTTATACATCAGCACGTATTACAGTGCCTGGCACATGGAAGGTGTTCAAAAGCATGTATTCAACGAATTAATGAATGAACGCTTTTGATGTCCCTTTAACTCCTCTATACACCAAACTCTCCTTTAGATCTGACTTTCGCCAGAGCATATACATTGCTCATGGACAGACAGGCAAACGATATACTAATCTCCACCAAGACTTAAGTAAAAAAAGTCTCTGTAATAATTGTATATGATGAATTCTGAGAGCAAAATCATATGTGTATTATTTCCCTGTATTAATATTTTATATATGAAAAGCAAATATGAGCAACTTCATAGAGAACTGAATATCATGAAATTGCCACAATAAAGTGTCTGAGATTTAAGTTTAAATTTTGTTTGTGTGTGTGTGTAGTATTAGAATAGAACTTTTTGCACCATGTCAAATTTATCCAATAACACAGTATTTCAAGGCAATTAAAAAGGCAGACATTTTAAAAAGGAAGGTAAAAAGAAAGATAGAAGAAAAAGAAAATACTAGTGCCCAAGCTAAAAATAATTGTAATTATTATTTTTAAGTTAAATAAATAAAATAATAATTCTAAAAGGAAACATACTGGCTCATAAGAATAAAAATTTTGAGCTGACGTTTATTTATTTTTTTTTCTTCTGATCTTCTAAGTAGATTTTTTTTTTTCAGGAAGATTGGCCCTGCACTAACATCTGTTGCCAATCTTCCTCTTTTTCTTTTTTTTCCCCAAAGCCCCAGTACATAGTCGTGTATCATAGTTGTAGGGTTGTAGCTCTTCTCTGTGGGATGCCACCTCAGCATGGCTTGATGAGTGATGAGTAGTCCTGCGCCCAGGATCCGAACCGGTGAAACCCGGGCCACCAAAGTGGAACGTGTGAACTTAACCACTATGCCATTGGGCCGGCCCCCTGACATTTATTTTTTTTAAGCCTCCCTCCATCCTTTGCCCACTCTCTTTTGTTGTACTCACATCACTGATTTGCTTTGTGTTCTGTTTCGCCTGGACCATAACTGGGGAGTCCACGATGCTGGTAAATTTGAGGGTGTCTGGATGTTGCCTGTACTTCTTTTCATTCAGGGCATCACCCGCCTTTTTAACTTTTTCTACTTCCAGACTGCCGATAGGTATCCAGCCTATGCCTTTCATCCAGTTGTTGTAGTCCTCCTTGTAGGCATTCTACAGCAAAGAGAGAGAAGAGGATGAGTGCCCCAGGCAGTGGGTTCTCTCACGGCAGTCTCCAACCTTAGAAGGGCATTGCCTTGCGGAGTGGATGTCGCTTACATCACTCTGTATGTGCATCATGTTTTTAGACAGCTCCAGGTCCATGGCGTCAGGCAGGTAGGTGTAATGATGGAGCGTATGCTTATAGTTGACGTTGCTGGCAACATCCTGAGCTTTCTTAGCTGCCACCACATTGAACATATCATGGGGCGTGTTGTATTTCGTCTTTGTCTTCTCATAGTCTTTTTTATACTCCCAATCTGACTGTGTCTTGGCCACATTCATATAATGAACCAGTTTAGGATCATCCTGGAGACTTTGGAAGCCAACCATTTTCCCTTTGGCTTTTTCATAATCTTTCTTGTACTGAACCTATTGGAAACAAAGTAGGCATATTTTTAAATTCAGTTATAAATATTTTACTGAACAATGGGACCATGAATTGAAGCAATTGAGCTCCCCAGAAATTACTTTACTTTAATAAACCATTAGATATTCACTTGCAAATACTTAGAAACGTAGCTTGGTAAAATAAAAAATGTTATTTTAAGCCTATCTGATTGTCTCTCGTTGCTTCTGCCACCCAAGAGAGTTGGGGTGGGGGCATTACATAATTCATATCAGTGACGAAGTAAAATGAGTTCCTTTCTACTTATACACTGGTGGAGAAAAGTGAAAAGATAAATATTTCACAATCTCTACCAATCATATTGTGCTGTGAAAGAAGGAGACTCCAAATAGCTGGCTATCTTATTAGAAGTAGAATTGTAGTAGTAATAGTAGAATTTTAGTAGTAGTAGTAGAATTTTAATGAGTCTTTGTATATTCAAAGGGAGACCCAGAGCCAGTGGTGTGTAAACCCTAATTGGCTCTGAATAATACAGTGAGGAGAAGCGAGCTACCTCAGGGAGACCTGGGAAGAAATCTGGGAAACTGAGAAGCAGAGATGTGAGGGAAGGCTTGTGTGTATGTCCGGGTGGGGTGTGGCTGGAGGAGGGCACCCACAGAGAAAGGGGAGCAGTGACAAATTCTGGAGCAGGGATTTGGGGACACAGACATTTATTATTCGATTGCAACATATTTACGTTGGTGCAATGTAAACTTCATTTCGAACAATCAATGAAGTTGTGCTTGGGACCTAGGAAATCAAAAGCAAGGGGCCGTGTTCCATCCCTGGATCAGGCAGAAAGAGAAGTAAAGCCAGGGGAAGAGAGCCCAGCTAAGCCAGAGCAAAACCATCATGTGCAAACAAGGAGCCAGAGGTGATCAGAAAAAATGAAAACCTCAGAGTATCTGCAGCAATCATGGCGCTGGGGCGGGGGTTGGGGGGAGGTATCCCACTGCCTATAGGCAAGGTGGGGGCTTGAGTCAATTTTGTTTAAATCTCAAAGAGCAAAGTAACTTCAGCTCACATGAGGGTTAAAGTAAGAAAGGAAAAGAAACAAGTCTTATCTTTAACGGAACCTAACGATGACTATTAGGGGCTCTGACACTTGAAGCCAATTCATCAGTATGTAGATGCAATGAAGTAAAAAGAGAGCAAGGGAAAGAGAGAATTCATATAAATTAAGCAAGTTTTGAGATAAAGTTTTACCATAGGAGGTTATTATGACTTAAATAGTACGTAACTTCTTTATTTCCACAAGAAGGAATAATGTGAATTTGTGCAGAAATATAGATGAGAATTTAGAATTAGAGTGCTTGATTAGAACTGATCAGTAAAGGTTATAGAAATCCTTACTCTCCCCAAAAATTCAGATCTATTTAGGGAACCTTCCTTTCTACATAGTTTTCAACTGGACTTGCTTCCAGTCAGGGAAAACAGACGTGGTGACTTTTGGATAACAAGACCAGCCCGCCCACATTTTCTAGTGACACACAGGTGACCACCAGCTGGACTTACGTCACTCGCCGCCTGCCTGGCAGCCTTGGCAACTCGGATGGGAATCGCATCGGTTCTCAGGTCATATCCCTTTTTGCTCAAATCTTTCAAGTCTGCTTTGTAGATATTCTGAAAGAAAAACGTCATTTGAATATAACTCAGGCCACGCTTAGAAAAGGCTTAACCCGTAATCAGCTGCTGAGCGCATGAGCACACCTCACTGATGTTGTAGGCATTGACTTTAGCCTGAACGAACTGGGGCACATCTGCTGGCAGGCTGTATTTGTGAATAATTTCCTCTCCTTTGGCTTTGTAGGCGGTCTGGAAGAGAAAAAAAAATGCATAAACAAACAAAAAAATAAATAAAGTAGAGGAAAGCATTTAATGGCACAGGAAAATAATTTTAGAGCACATCACATTGCCCAGAGGTGCTTTTCATGAAAGACGTTCTCTGTGTCAGTCCCATATTCACCTGACAATGTCTGTAGGCATTTAAGGTCTCACATGCAATTGCACAGGGTTCTATCTTAGTGCTGGTTCAGGTCCCTTGTGCAAATGTCCCTTGGGATGCACTAGGAACTTCTGGACTTAGGTAAGGGCATCTCGAGGAAGTTAGCCCAGGGAGGTGGCCTGATGAAAACGCTGACCTGCAGACGCTTTCCTGAGCATAGGAAAAGCTAATAGGGTGGGCTACACCAGCTGCCTGTATTATATTTTGTGGGTGACTAAAGGGACTTAGGGGTAGTTTTTACCATATATATGATTTTTGTCTTAGCTCTGACTTAAAATTTAACTCCTCCATATGATGTAGTACGTGTATTCATTTTCTCGATCTTTCCTAGAAATAGGCTTGTGTTTCTTGTCATCAAGAGGAGCCCCTCTTCCCTTTCCCTTGGAAAGCAATGTCCAATGCCTGAAAGGATAGTCAGCACAATATACCTAACTCTCTAAAGATATGAATTAGGTGTGCTATTTTAATGAAAAGCTGGGGGAATTATGCAGTTGCTTATGTAATTGAGTCTTCCTAGATTAGATTACAACTACAAGTGATGAGTACATTTGGACTACAAATGTATTTTGTGTCAGAGAACATTTACTAAAATACAGGTAGGCTTAACACTTACATCACTCCTCTGGGCCTGGTTAATTTTAGACTGTACTATAATCGGAGCATCTTCAATAGAGGTAAACTTGAGAGTGTCTGGATGTTGGCGATATTTTTTCTGTTTGGCAAATTACAAAGAGAAAAATAATAATATTACTTTCACCGAAGGTTAATATAACAAAATCCTTGAAATTTATTTTGGTGGAACAAGGATCTTTCCTGATTTTAAAATGTAAAAATACTAGATTCTTGTTTGGCTTGGGGAAAAAAATGAATCCAACACAAAAGCCAGTGTTAAAAAAGCTGGTTTAATTTAGGATTATTTGGGGCAGCACAGACCAATACAACTTTCAGGAACCAGACTTTACTTTCTTAATTTCTTGCTTGTGACATGAAAGTGGGCACTCTCAGTTAAGCAGGATCTGGAAATATCACGAAGTTTTCTAAAGGATTAACAGAAAAGCAGGCAAGGAGATTCGAAGTGTCTTTGCATGACACTAACAAGTTCTCAGAGATGTTCTTTTCCCTGTCACTCCACCAGTGACTGAAGGACAGAAGCTCTCCAGTCAAGGGAGGAGGAATTGAGGAACTAGGGCAACAGCTAAGGATTATTAATGAGAGAGAGGACTTTTGCTTTCCGAGCCTTACTGTGGTTAGTACATAGGTTATCACTAACTGCTGAGGGAGCACAAGAGAGGGGACGTGGGGAAGGTGTCTCATTTGGGAGCTGGCAACTTCTGGCTACACTTATACCTATATTTTTCTCCATTTCTTCTCCCAGTCCTCTTCCTTTGTGAGTATTACACATCCCACTATTGAGGATATGGTAACATTGCTCTTTCAACTTCAGACTTCTGAAAACCACTAACCCAGAACTTTTTCTGAAAGATCTCCGAGTAGACAAAATGGTTTTCATCAAAAACAAACAAAAGCACAAAACAACAAGGACAGCAGAAACTTGAGTGTGAAGACCACCCTCACTCAGCACCTCTGTCCCTTCTTTATGTAGTCTAACCTCCTTGATGATGGATTCACCTCACTGCGGTGGGAATGTTCAGCTGTTGGCAGAGGAGGGACAAACCAAAATGTGGTATAGCCATACAAAAGAAACACTACTCAATAATAAAAAGGAATGAATTACAGACACATGTAAAAATATCGATAAATCTCAAAAACATCATGCTAAGTGAAAGAAGTCTGATACAAAAGAAATTTCCAGAAAAGACAAAACTATAGAGACAGAAAGCAGATCAGTGGTTGCCTGGGGGTGAAGATGGGAGCAGGAATTTTTCAAGGAAACTTTTTGGGATACTAGCATCATTTTAAAGTTCAATTGTGGTGATGGCTGTACCACCATATGAATTTATTAAAACTCACCAAGGTGCACACTTAAAATAGGTGAATTTTATGGTAAGCAAATTATACTTTGATAAAGTTGCTAAGAATATGTTTATCATGAATGGTTAACATAAATGCTTTTGGTGATGTAAAGGAGTATGCTTATCTACCACGATAATTCATGCACATGGTGGGTTTTTTTCCTCAGCAACAATTACTAGAGAAGGAAGTGTTAAAGGAGGCATTTCCTATGGGGTTGAAGGTTAAACATGACACATTCACGCTGTGACACACATGCTGGCTTTACCTCGTTCAGGATGTCTGAAGCTCGCTTTGCCTTTTCCATTTCTAGGGACCCAAAAGGCACCCAGCCACAACCTTTCATCCAGTTGTTGTAGTCAGCTTTGTATTCAACCTAAAACACCAAGAGAAAGTTATATTTCTTTTGCTCAGCATCATCCGTATTCATAAAAATCACTAAAATTTTACCCAAAATGATGTTTTGAAGATTTCTGACCAGCTTCATTATTGCATACACTAAGGTTATTGTAAACATTTCCTTGGTGAGAGATTTAACAGCCTTTAGGTTTTCACTGTTCTAGTTGACATATGTTCCATTTCATCCTTATTTCCAGCTGAATGGAAGTATGTGAAACTCTAGTTCCAATCTGGAAAATGCTAAATGCAAAGCTGCATTTCAAGGAATAAATGAAATTGTGAGATTTAGATAGTCAAATGCAAGATGTTTGCTCACTGGAACTCTAAGTATTATGTTTCTATGGGCAAATTAGGACTGAAGGCCACATTGATGGTAGATAATTTTGCTCATTTTCTGATAAGATAAGACTTGATGGTAGTTATTTGTACTTAGTGTTTGCACACATTGCCCTTCATGTGTCATGGTCGGCTTAGGAGTGTTTCTACGTTGGCTAACAATGCACTTTAAAATAGGTGCACTTGATAACTTGCTTATGGAGAGCAGTTATCATTTGAAATTGGTCCTGTCTTGAGGACAGTTACTTAATATTATTAAAACAATGAACCACTCTTGTTATCTGGCTCTAGGTGGTACCTAAAACTTATATTCTAAATACAAAATTCAAATTTTTGTTCTTTAGTATGGGCCTTTTAATTGGAATCAAAAACCATTAGGTAACTGCCTTTGAGAGGCTTACAATCTATTTGGGAGAAAGAAACATAGAAAAATTAAACAAATAAATAAGGTAATAATGCACAAAATAGAATTGTTAGTGATGGGGATGTAAAACTGTGCAGCTGCTGTAGAAAATAGTATGGTGGTTCCCCAAAAAATGAAAAATAGAATTACTATACGATCTAGCAATTTCACTTCTGAGTGTATACCCAGAAGAACTGAAAGTAGGGTCTCGAAGAGATACTTATATACCCATGTTTATAGCAGAATTATTCACCATAGCCAAAAGATGGAAGCAACCCAAATGTCCACTGACAGATGCATGGATAAATAAAATGTGATATATACATATAATGGAATATTATTCAGCCTCAAAAAGGAAGCAAATTCTGACACATGCTACAACACTGATGAACCTTGAGGACATTACACTAAGTGAAATAAGCCAGTCACACAATTACGAATACTGTTATGAGCCCATTTATATGAGGTCTTTAGAGTAGTCCAACTCAGAGAAACAGAAAGTAGAAGGGTAGTTGTCAGGGACCAAGGGGAGGAGGAAATGGAGAGTTGTTGTTTAATGCATATAGAGTTTCAGTTCTGCAAGATGAAAAAGTTCTGGAGATTTTTTGCACAACAATGTGAATTAATCAACACTACTGAACTGTAGACTTAAAAATGGAAAATATGGCAAATTTCATGTTATGTGTATTTTACCACATTTTAAAAAAAACAGAATTGCTAGGATAAAGTATTCAATTGTGTAGCTCAGACAAATTAATTTGCTTAAAGAAGCTTCAATCTGCAGGAAAAAACCCAGCTACTATAAAAATTGATGCTGTAAATGATATGATATTTTATTTTCAGACAAGATAGCAATCTATGTAAAAAAATATTAATGATGATAAATGTGATCATTATGGTAGTGGTGGTGATAATAATAGTGAATGTTTACTGAGAATTCACCAGGGCCTGGCACCATGCTAATTATTTTGCATTCATTTAAATCTTCAAAACAATTCTTTTGTTTTATTCCAATTTTACAAGGAAGACTCTAGACTCAGCAAGGTTGATAACTTTCCAAAAGGGAACAGTGATGGGGTGCATGCTAGACCCACGACTCTAGACTCAGCAAGGTTGATAACATTCCCAAAGGGAACAGTGATGGGGTGCATGCGCTAGACCCACGCTCTCTAACTCTGAAGGGTGTGCTCTTATAGAACCACAAGGGTAAGCTTTCCATTATGTACTTGCCACCGACAGAAGACAACACAGGTACCTCTGAGAATTGCCAAAAACATCACTCAACTTAGAAATCTTTTTCAGTTTCCACCTTAAAAAGGGAGAATAGAGAAAATCTGATTACTCACATCGCTCTGCAGCGCATAAGCCTTCTTGGCAAGGTCCACGTTGATGCTATCGGGCGGGTAGCTGTAACTGTGTAAGGGGTGCTTATAGTCCACGTCACTGGCAATTGCCTGAGATTTCTTAGCATGAGTCACTTGAAGCATATCAAGAGGTGCTGTGTAGACAGTTTTTGCTTTTTCATAGTCTTTACGATATTCATGCTGTGAATAGAAAATTAGTATTTATAGCCACAAATCCTCAATGGACTTCCAGAAAACCACAGAGATCTCTCATAAACAATAAATACAAGTAAAGAAACAGATCCAAACATCCGAGTAGTTATTTTTTCCTAAAATTTGTTCATATGTTACACATCTTTGAAACTCCCCCCAAAATCATATATGGACAAATCTTCTCAGATCTCTTTTTAGATCAAATAGCAACTGTCAGACATTAGGAAAGCGCCACAGCTTCTGCTTCAGCCAGGAATTATTTTATTTTAAAACAGAGGTTTTCAAGGACCACTAACTAGCATTATTTCTACTAAGGTAATCTAACATTTGACAAGTTTTCCAATAAAGAAGTATTTTTTTAATTGATGAAAACCACATAACAATCATTTCATACTTCTGGTTTTATAAAATGACTACTTCACAAATAGTGTACACTTGACTTCTTGGCTTTTCTAAAGTCATCTTTAAACAGATAGTTACTGATTTTTCAACCTGACTATCTTACTTTTGACAATAGATAAGCCCTACTGAGAATCCCAAAGGTTTTCTCATACCAAGTTTAATTTTGGTAATAATTTAAAAGAAGATTCCAGTTGCAGTAATTATAAGACCTCAAAGGAAAAAAGTTTGTGAAACTGAGCTATTAAAGTAACCTTGGCCCTTATGCACAGTGTTCTCATAAAGCAAATGTCCTGACTGAGCCTCAGAAGGCACTTTCATTGGCTGGTTTTCTGGAATGGTTAGATAGGGTGCTAATTAGGTCAAAATCCCAGCTTCATCATGTCCACTCACCAACTACCTTAACAGAGAGAAAAATTCTGACCCAATGCCCTTAGGAAAATTCTAAACCTATTACATCTCCCCATAATCACATAAGCTTTAAAGGCAGTGATCCAAACCAGCAAGTATAGATGTGCACTATAAATCTTCTGTAGAAATTCCTTTTGCAAGTGATCTGACCTTTTAGTTTCCTTAGGGAGTGTGATCTTCCCTCTAATATTTTGTGGTTAGTCACTTTCACTGAATAAATTTATCACTTAATTGTAAAATCTAGACCCTGGTTTATGAAAACAAAAGACAGAAACTTTCTGATGGTATGCAAGAACACTGAAAAAAAATAAAGACAGTTTGCCTTTATTAGAAATAAACTGATAAAGCAATGTTGCAATAGCAGTTGGGGTGTGGAAATGTTTTTGACTAAATTGTTTTGACTCTTTTGTTCATATTCATACCGGCTCACACAGACCTCACATATAAAATGTTATCAAAGGTCCAAAGCGCTTTAAAAGATTCTTTTTAAAAGCTCTGAGTGTTCTATATCTGCAGCTTAGCATTTAGCCTGGATATTATGTGAGAATGACTCATCACTGACTATTTCTTTTGGTTGCCAACATCAATCAATTAACAAGTATTTATTGAAGACTTATTATGCACCTAGAGTTCTAATGGGTTCTGTGATAGGATGAAAAACAAAAGATAAAGATATATGTGCTCTCAATGGAGAGCTATGACTTTTTGAGTTGAAAAGGGATAAGGAATTAGCGAACAAGATAGTGCTATGTACGTGAGCACTGTATACTGACATAATTTGATGTGAAGTTATTGGAGAAAATCATTGACTAGGATGTTTTAAAGTGCTATATGACTATATACTAAATACAAAATGAGTTAAAGAAGGTATATATAGATTCTTATATGAACACACGGTTAAAATGAAAGTAAATGATACAAACATCTTTCTCTTTAATTGTGAAAAACTATTATTTGCAAGCTATGTTGAACGTTCTTACCCCTCTTAAGAGATTCTCTAAATATTTTTAAAACACAGTGTATATTGAAATTTGCAATAGTAGGTGTTTGCCTCTCTATAGTCAGAATTTTAACCAAAAAATGATAGATGGCCCATAGACAAGCCTTAGGGAATCCATAAATTCTCTGACATTTAGGCACAAGGCATGAAAATAAAGTTTGTTTTTCTAGATGGATTGTCCAAATCTTTTATCAGATTCTCAAAGGGGCCTATAATCAATGGAGTATTTTTCTTGGACCTAGGCCAATACTAATTACTCAAGTCAATAAAGAGCAATGATAGCTATACTAAGATTTTTACCTGTGACTCACGATTTTTCTTCCAAAATAAAGACAGTTTTAAAATCATCACTTTAAATGTTATTTTTCTATTAGAAGAAAATGTGAAAACATGTAGTGATGTTTTCCAAAAGGTTTTGAAAATTACAATTTATAGTCTATTAAATATTAACATTTACATTTTTCAAAGTGAAATGGAGACTAAGTGCAAATCAGTAATTTCTCCCCTTAAACGTGAGAGGTGCAAGAATCTGGGGCATCACCCCGCTTCTAAAGTTCTCCCAGCAGTTTGTTGTTGTAAACTGGAGAGATCCCATGGATATGGAGTCCTTTTACAAGCTACTGCCCTGGGCATGTTAACAGGGACGCCATCTTGAAAACAAGACAGATTTAGGAAAGCACTCACATCACTCTGGTTTTTGGCCGCCTTCAAGCAGTTCAGCATCTTGGGGTCGTCATTAATGCTGAGGGCTCCAATCATTTTCCCTCTGCTTTTCTCGTAGTCTTTCTTGTACATCACCTGCAAAGACATCACACGTGCCAGATCACACCCATCAGGAAACATCGCTGAGGCCCCCCTGCCCAGGGGCCCAGGCCATACTCACATCGCTAACATTCCTGCTGTTGGCTTTGGCTGCCAGCAGGGGAATGGCATCCACTTTGATGTCAAACTTCTTAGCTTTGCTTTTCTCCCAGTCGTGCTTATAAATATTCTGGACAGGAAAATTTCAACAAAGGAATTGTAAGAAAAACATCTAACACAAATTCATCCAGTAAAAATAAAAAACATTGAAAATTTGTGTACATAGGCTTATCTCACCTATAAATACCATATTTACCAAATGGTAGTATAACTATTAATTTATCTATCATCCAGCTTCTTCCCCCCACCACCAAATAAGTATAATGTATTCTTTCTAAGGTTCTGTGAACTTTCTAAAGACTCTGCTATCCTGATGTACAAAGGATAATATAAAATGAAAACCACTTGGAGAAGGCGAAATGTGACATTTACATAGGAGAGCTCTTGTAAAACTCTAAGGAGTAACAGAAGGGTAATTGAGAGAGTGTTTCTGATAGTATTAGAGACTGTGGAAAATGAAATCTGATAGCTAAGTAAGAGTCTTAAAAGCATTATGCCTTAAAAGCTCCACCTATACTCTGGTAACAATCTCAGTAGTTGTTTATTTGCATAACTCCTAATCTCGTCTTTTTAAACACCTATAACATTTCCTCTTCTCATGCACATACAAATACAGGCTTCTGCGACTTTGGTACTTACATCACTCAGGTTATAGGCATTGACTCTGTGTTGGATAAACTGTGGAGCATCTGCTGGTATGTTGCACTTGAACTTCTCACCTTCATGTTTTGCTTTGTAATTCAGCTGAAAAATAGTAGACGGTAGCCAAACAGTTCAGGGGAGGAACTTCCTTGAATTTATGTAGGAGAGTGTATATAGCTAAGTCATTTCTACCCTTTTTAGAAAGATGCCTCAAAGAAATAGTCAATCCAGTAAAAGTCCAGCGCAGGGCCCAGACTGACTCCCTCTTTCAGAGATTGTGGTATAACCAAACTTTGGGTTGTCATTTTGTAAATACTACCACAATGTACATACGGGAAACTCATTGTCTGATCTAAACTTCCAGGCTGTACCTTGAAGGCATGAACATTCAAAATCTATGAAATTCTGTAATCAGAGCACTAACAAAAATAATAATAATTCTAAATAACATGCCAGCACAATTAAAAAGACATGTAAATATTTTCTAAAGAATTTACAGTCCTACAAAATTTAAAGTCCTACAAAATATAGGACTTAATTTAAAATGTTCTAAAGGTGACATTAGGTGGATGGAAAAGAGTACAAAGAGGGCATGGGGCTGTTGAATTTTGGAGATAAAGGCAAATGCACAATACTGAGAAGAACTGTGCAATAAGCATCTTCAAAGCAGAGCCTGTAGCCCAACCAGGCCAATGAGAAGAGTGCGTGGGGACTTGGCACTGCGAAAATCACCACGTTCCTCTGCAGCTTGCCGCGTTCAATGGGATCAGCGATGTCAGCGTTTAGGTGCTCTTTCTTGGGACGCAAAATATGAACATGCTAGGAAAAGTTGCACAGGAAGCACTATGACTTCTGGGTTATACTGATGTCATTCTTTACCAAATGCACATGAGCTAATCCGTGTTACTAAGACACATTTTGTAGTAGGACGAACTGTACATTTCGTCTTCCTGTCTTGAGAAGGACGTGCCACTTCTCAGAATTTAGTTGTGTTAGCACCTTGCTACTGATAGTGTGCTCTACCAATCAGCAGCATCGGCATCACCTGGGAGCTTATGAGAGCGTCAGAATATTGGGTCCTGCAGACCTACTGAATAAGAATCTGCGTTTTTCACAGAGTCACTGGGTGACCCACGTGACTGTGCATGTTTGAGAAGCACTGCTGCTCTTGCCCTGATCTTGGCATGACTGGGCCATTCTGCCATAGATCTTCCTTGCCTATCCAATCTAAAGCGCCCCCCCGCCCAGTCACTCTATTCTCCTGTCATCCTATTTTAATTCTGTATCACCACTGTGTATTACTTTTCTTATTACTGCCTGATGTCTTTCTTGTTTCTGTGCTCTTTTTCTTTTAGTAAAGTCTTTGTTAGGAAACTCAAGAATGGGAACTGCTTGCCTACCCAAGTGGATGCTTTTGTTGTTGTCATTGTTTATTTAAGTGGCCATGAAGTTTTAGTATGCGTTATTTTTGGTATGTGACGGATCCTAATGAGCAAATTCCCACTAAAAATCAATGAGTTATTGAAGATTATTAGTTATTTTTATTATTGCCTAACACCATTTTCCCTGAGGCTACATTCAATTTGGCAGCTTCATTTGCGTTTTATTAAACAAATCTTGAGGTATGACACTGTTGGGATGATAGATGAGCCCATGAAGATTAAGCATGTAAATACTTATGTTTCAAATAAGCAAAACATTCTGGGTCACTCATATTTACATAAATTAAGGCACTTACATCACTAAGCTGTTTCGTGTTGAGCTGGGCTTGCAACAGCACAGGAGTATCAGTGACGGCTGTGAATTTGGTCTTATCTGGATGAACTTTGTAGGTATGCTAGAGAAGAAGATGTTCTTTAATGAAATTTCATAATGTGTCTTTATATTCTTGTTCATATACGCACTAACATGTAGAAAGTTTCCAGCCAAAAATAGTTTATTTCCTGAAAACTGGGTTGATATGTTCCCACTTCCTCTCTCTTTCTCAATGTCTCTCTCTCTCTCAATCTCTCTCTCCTGAAGTTGCCTCTAAACTGGTCTCCTTGCTGCAATTCAGCAACCAGATTAATCTTTCCCCATGCTGAAGCCCTACAATGGCTCTCCACTGGAGTTGGTATTCAATCTAAACTGTACCTTGGCTTACAAGCCTACTCTACAGAGTCCACCCCCTCCTTCATCTCCTACCATTTCACCTCTTACTACTGTCCTTCTCCCCAGTACACTTCAGCCACCTCTTCCCTACAATTCCTTAAATGCCGAGCTTGTTCTCTTCTCAGGCTGTTCATCCTGCTGCTCTTACCTTGACCTTGGCATGGCTGCACATTCCTGCCTAAGACCTTCCTTGACCACCCAATCTACAGTGCCCATCCCATCTCTCTCTCCCACATCATCCTATTTTAATTCTACATTAGCTGTCTTCTCATTGACTGATATCTTTCTTGTTTCTGTGCTCTCTTTGTTTATTATCTGTCTCTCCCTCTCAAACGCAGGCTCCCCAAATGCAGCCCACCTTGTCCTATCTTCTTTCTCAGCATCAAGGACAATGTTTGGCACAAGCTAGTCCCCTCATGTAAATTTGTTGGATGAATGAACACCTGTCTCTCACAAATCGCCATGTCCTCCCTTTCCTCCAAAGCCATGTATATATAAACTAATGAAAATAAAGATTTATAAAACCTGAAATTATTTTGTCACAAATAGGCTTCTTCACAGTAATTTTTGTGTTCCCAAATTCCACCCAAAAAGCAAAATTTAAAATTTAGCATCTCATGCTAATCACTAGATGCCAGCATTTAAACTCCTGCTAAATTTACCACTAGATGGCACAAGAATCCCAAACCCAATTTCAAGAATTCAGGGCAGCTGACTTACATCTTTACACTGGTCTAGCTTCTTGATTGCTTCATATTCTTGTGTTATTGTCTGAGGGAAATAGCATTTCCCTTTATCTTCTTCATATTCTGCTTTGTAATTTTTCTATAATGAGAAAGAACAAAAATAGATCATGATTGTTATTGTTCCCGAACAATGTCACTGAGAGGCATGAACAATTGTCTTCAAACTTACGTCACTGTTTTGAGCTGAAACTTTCATGCAGTGTATTTGATATGGGTCCTCAAAGCTGCCTATGTAATGTCCCAAGATATCCTGTACATATGAATTTTTATATTTAGCCTGAAAAAGAAAACATATGTAACTCAGATTGACAGTTACTTGTCAAACACGGAAAAGCCCTCAAACCCCAGAGGTAACCACAGCCTTTCACACCTCGCTGAAGTTCTTCAGCAGAGTATCAAGTTGATATTTAGGGGTCTCACAGTAATTCATGCTCTTTGCCTTTGTCTTCTCATAGTTTTCCTTGTATAATCTCTGTCAGAGGGAAAAAATCAAACAAAGAAAAGAAAAGAAAAATTTATCTCAGGGTATTAAAAAAATTCACATCATTGCTATACTTTAACCAAAAGAGCAAATTTTGTATTTTTTCAGCATTTATTTTCCACAAAGCAAAAAGCAGAATGAATATGGTAGAGGCTCATGTCTTGTATAATCTAGTCTGCTATAACCATAAATAAGTTCATGTTACTTATCCTCATATTTCTCAGTCAGAATAAATCAGAGCATACCAGTGCTGCTGGCTAATCAACTTTTTATCTTAAAATAATTCTTTCCACCTGAATGTGTTTGATGGAAAATGAATTTTTTAACAGTTGGTGCAAAATAATATAAAAGGTATAAGGTACCTAGATATTTAGGCCCAGCCCTAGAAAAGTATTCAGTCCAGCGCTTGACGAAAACACATTTTACACCACCTATGGAAGTTGGCTTTTATCATTAAGACCTAATATTTTATTTTATAGCAGTAATACATTAAAAGATGGTTTTTCCGTTTTATTTTACTTATGATATATTTCTTCACATTCTCTTTAATTCTCCCATATAGAAATCCAAAAATATACTTAATAAACACTGGAATATTTATAAATGATACAGAATAGGGAGTATTTCTTTTTTGCTATAAATTAGAAAAACAATTTTTATAAAGAGTCATTTTATTTTAAATAAGTATTTTAAAGTCTTTAAAACGAGATCAATATTTTAGAAAATTCTTAAAATAAAATACTTTGCTTTTGAGGTTATGCTTCATCTAGTTTTTCATACTTTGTCTTTAGCCTGATTTTCTCACTTTTTGCCTTTTATTTTTCTGTATGTATTTTGACAAAGTACCTTAAGTCAAGTCATGGTATGGAATGAATACATGTTTATACATACTGAGATATTGAGCCTGTTTCTAGGAAAAACATCAATGATATTGCTAGCATATTTTCCCCCTAATAAAACAGAGGGCATTAAGGAGATTAAGAGAAACTTTACAATATTCACTGGTGTCTCAAAGTACAGAGACATCATAAGAGTGAGGAAGTTAATCCTTGACCACTGGGCTTTCACGTTAAATTTGTCTTCCTGAGTCTGAGATTTCGTTTAGGCTAGCATCCCACCCAAGGTTATGTTAAACAGCAAGTGCAGCCACATCTGAAAACAAGACAGAATTACAAAAGCACTCACATCACTCTGGTTTTTGGCCGCCTTCAAGCAGTTCAGCATCTTGGGGTCGTCACTAATGCTGAGGGCTCCAATCATTTTCCCTCTGCTTTTCTCGTAGTCTTTCTTGTACATCACCTGCAAAGACATCACACGTTCCAGATCCCACCCATCAGGAAATGTGGTTGAGGCCCCCCTGCCCAGGGGCCCAGGCCATACTCACATCGCTAACATTCCTGCTGTTAGCTTTGGCTGCCAGTAGGGGAATGGCGTCCACTTTGATGTCAAACTTCTTAGCTTTGCTTTTCTCCCAGTCGTGCTTATAAATATTCTGGATAGGAAAATTTCAGCAAAGGAATTAGCAAAAGCGATATGCATGTTATCACACTTTAAAGACTACAAGGTAACTCAATACCTGTCTTAATATAAAATAGATGGGCCATATTCATTGTCCAGGAAATCACGAATATTTTAGATAATTCTCCTCAAGCTGAAGCTTCTAATTCTCTAAGATTAAGCCTCTCTACTCTCCATTAGAATATTTCATCCAATTAACTTAATTCTAGTTATCGTACTAATATTTGATTTTTAACACTGAATATTTTATAGAGCGGCACAAATATTCTACAGTTAACTTACTTTTTATAATATAAAGGCACCACTTTCATTTGATCTCAAAATCCTCTGCAAAGGTTGTTTCATGAGTCATTATGATACTCGTTGATGATGGATAATCTTAGTACTTATTTATAGAATTGTTGAATAAATGGAAACCTCCAAGGCACTTATATGGTGAGTGACAAACAATAATGTACAACAAAAATTTCACAATAAAAAAAAAATACTCTAAAAAAAAGAAAACTGAAACCCCCAAAGGTAATTTGACATTTCTATAAAATTAAATTTGTAAATGAAAGATAGCAATGGATACCTGGCCTTATGCCTTTTGAATACCCTATATCTTTGTTAGTGCAAGTTCTCTTACATGTAGAAATAAGTATCATTTGTGTGAAATAAGGGACATTATAGGCCTGAGGGACAAATGAAATGAAATTATATCTTAAAAAATCAGGTCCTAAAAGAAAATTAATTATAGTATACTATAAATGAATATATGGTTAAAAGATCTAACATTAAGATTTGCAATTAAACCTACCTGAGTGGTGGTATTTTGAGGGTTGGTTAAAATATTAAGATTGTCTAATTGTGTGAAGCTACTTGCAAGATTGCTACACACATTTCATAAGGTGAGTTCAAAGTTACCTTGGCAGAGGCATGGGAACACAATGCAAATGTTAACTGTTATTCCCATCTTTAGCATTGAAATATTTATTCAGTGAAGCAATTCTAAAATAAAAGCACAAGTTGTCAGCATATCACGTGGCATAGGAACTTACGTCACTCAGGTTATAGGCGTTGACTTTGTGCTGGATAAAGGCAGGGGTATCTGGAGGTATATGGCACTTGAACTTTTCACTTTCATGTTTTGCTTTGTAATTTAGCTGAGAGAGAGGGAAGGAGAGAGAAAGAGAAAGAGCCAATTAGTTCTGAAGAAGAATTGTTTAAAAACACAAAAAAATTTTGTGTGGTATGTTTCATAAGATAAAATATAAAATACATTCTGTTCAATAACAACCGACAAAGTTAGGATCAAAAGAGAAATCCAGAGCTAGGGTAGACCACCCTGCATTATTGCCAACCCGTGTGCTGGATACGTGACAGCTGTTACCACATCTGTCACCATGGTAGGACCCTAAAGGGAGGAGGTGGCTCTTTCGGATATGTTCCCCTCCATGCATATCACAATTGGCCCTGTAGGTTCTGAGAGGGACAGTCCTTTCTTCCCTTTTGTTGTCAATGCTTACTGACTAGAGAATCTTTTCTAATAAATCTGGTGACGTCTCCTCACATACATTATGGTTTGTTGATACTCTAATTGAAGTCTTCATTTCTGGCTATAAATCTACAGAGGTTACTTTTATTTTTATTTTTTTAGTTCAACACAAGTTTGGAAATTCATACTTAAAACTCACATGATACAACTTTTCTCAAAGACTCTATTTTCCAAAACTTATTTGAGAGAAATCCCATGTATTGAATACTTGCTCTGGGCCAGGGTGTGTACTATGCACATTTCTCCTTTCACTTAATCTTCAAAACAACCACAAATTATAAAAGGGAAATATGAGGTACAGAGGGGTTAAACAATTTGCCTAGGCTTCCAGGTCATAGATGACAGAGCTGGAATTTGAATACCGTTTTCTCTGACTTGAGTACTCATGTTCCTTCCGGTGCATTAAGCTACATTAGTTTCCCTTATAGAATCATTTCCCCCCAAGAAGATGCAAGGCAACTTAAAAGGAAAATATTTTAGGTGATTACAAATATATACAAATTTAACTTGCTAAAACTTACATAGCCTTTTTTATAAATGTTCAAGTCACTGGATTTTATGTGTAGAGTTATGATATGTTATCCCACATAATTGGGTTTCCTGGATATTGAAGGGAACTTACATCGCTCAGTTGTTTGGAATTGACTTGGGCTTGCACCAGAACAGGAGAGTCGGTAACTTGAGTGAATTTTGTCTTATCCGGATGGACTTTGTAGGCATGCTGTGGGAGAAAAGGGACTCGGGTTTAGCAGTGTCACCTGTCAAGTTGAAGTTGGCCTATAGGCCAAACAAACAGAAACCCATCCCCCGAAAGAGAAGCAACTTATAGTAAATAAAACACATTATTTTTTCTAATTAGACTGCAGTTTCTTTGAGATGTTCTTACATCTGTACAAGAAACTTTCCCATATCTTCAGATTCCTGATAACTTTTCTTGGGGAAAATGAGCTAGAATTAGCTCTTGAAACGTGTGGATGACAACAGGGAAAAGTAGTGTATCTACCACAAAATAAAGTTTATTTCTATTTATCCTCCTGCTTGCATTTATTTGTAAGTGTCAAAATTTTAAACATATCTTGACCACTAGATGCTATGTAGGGCAGTAACATTTAAAGTTCATGCCGCAGACTTACATCTTTACACCTATCTAGTTTCTTGATTGTTTCATATTCTTGAGTTACGGTCTGGGGGAAGAAGCCTTTGCCTCTGTCCTCTTCATATTCTGCTTTGTAGTTTTTCTATGAGGAAAAGAAATCAGACACAAGGATGCAACCATTGTATTCATGCTCTAAAAAATGTGTTGTTTGGAAAGTTAAACAATTGCCTTAGAACTTACATCGCTGTTTTGAGCTGCAACTTGCATGCAGTGTGTATGATATGGATCCTCAAAGCTGCCTACATAATGTCCCAAAATATTCTTTAAGTAGGAATCTTTATATTTAGTCTGAAAGACAAAACATATTTCATTTATTTATTGGCAAAATGATGGGTCTTTTCTTTAATAGAAGGAGTGACTGTAAGATTGCTTACATCACTACTGAAGTTGTGCAGAACTGTATCAAGCTGAAATTTGGGGGTCTCACAGTAATTTATGCTCTTTGCCTTTGTCTTTTCATAGTTTTCCTTGTATAGTTTCTGTCAAAGAAAAAAATCAGTTAAAGTAGATTCCTGTCACTCCCACACTGATTATAACACGCGTATTCTCCAACACTAAACAAAAGAAGAAGAAAAAAGATCTTACTTGTCAACTGTCTTAAAAACTGACAATCAAATATCGGGGTGTCGTGAATGGTAAGCCTTTCCTATTAGCAATTATTGTAAAGCCTAAGTTTTTAACATTCTCCAAAAAATTAAGAAACCAATATGCTTCCTTAAACCAAGCCCTTAGTTGCAGAGATTCTCGTGTATTTCTGAACTGCTGCCTTCTCCATCTCCCAACTCACATACTCTTCCCTCACTGATGGTGCCACAACAACCAGTAATATTCTGAGCAACAATGAATTTTTCATTGCTTTTTAAAAAAACCTTTATGGAAAAAGTTTAACATATGTTGAGAAATACACACTCCCTCTTCCTCCTTCTACAAAGGAAAAATCTCTTATCATATGAACAGACAGTATACCTTAAAAATAAGATATATACAAGAACTCAAATCATGAATCTACTAACTCTTCTTCTCTGCTAGGATTTATCTTTAGCTCTAACAACAACAATATATGATTATTGGATTTTAAATGCACAATTGATAAAGCAGATCATGGTCACTTCTTCATGTTTGGTTTTGAAATTGTAAATCATGCTATTCGTTTTTAATATTTTTATTTTGCTGTCTTTATCAACAAAGTGGATTTGAATCTAGGCTTTATGTGTTGGATGAAGACGACTTGCATTTAGGAAGCATGAGACATGCTCTGCATTGATTTCCCCACAGAGCTCCTTGGACAGGTCCTTTTACACTCTCTCACCTGCCCCTCCACTCTCTCCACCCCTCAGTCACATGTGCACATTTCTATGGTGCTGACTTAACTCAAGCGACAAAGAGAAGATAACTAACCCACACAGAGAGCCACATATAATTCTCAAATATTGGGAAAGCTTCACACAATCTAACCATAAGGGAAAACTCAACTGATCACATGTTCAGTCTCTTTACATATATAGTCATCAAAGTGGTCTTGGGCTGTCAGTCTTTTAATGCCAGGCCCAGTTCTCACTTATCTATTTTAAATCTAGTGGATTAGTCAGGCTCTTAACAAGGCCTCAAGTGGAAATTCCAATGTAGACTTAGAGAGCCATGTTTTAAGTCCTGTTATCTGCCAATGAGCTTTTCTGGGTCCTAGATCTGAGTAGAAAATGGTGGAGGTGGGGGAGACAAGCTGTAAAACACAGGACATTTTCCTTCTCCAGGCAGCAGGCTTGAAGAACACAAGGGCAGAGTGCTAACACTGCTTCATCTCTCTCTCTCTCCTCCCCTTTCAAAGTCTCCTTCTGCCTCTCTGTAAAATCACGACGCATCTCCTACAATGTACTCCGCCCTCGGAGGCACCAGTACCTGGAACCTACAAGCAAATGAGGATTTCCCTGCCTATTGAACTAATTCCACAGGCCCCCCAAAATTGACACACCTCATACTCAGAGGCACTAATGCCTCCTGTGGTTAGATAGTTCTGAAACTGCTACCCCATAACTGTAAAGTATTTGCAAAGTTATATTTGCATTTGGTCATTATAGAGGGACAGAGATTTCATCTCTCTTGCAGCTAAGGTTAAAAAACACTTCTGACAAAAATACACTTACATCACTTAGGGCATCTCCTGCTGCCTTCAGCTGCCTGAGCAGTGGGTTCTCTGTAGCAGGCAGTATATTATAATCTGCTTTCCCTTTACTCTTTTCATAGTCTTCTTTGTATTTTACCTGTAGGAATGAATAAAGTGATAAAGTAACTCTCCGGGTTATTTTTGCTCTCGTCTCTATTACAGATATTATGACATCATTCCACAAATCAATTTTCTCTTGAGAAAAATGGCAGCTTGACATTTTATAAACAAAATACTCATAGTAACTCATAACAGCAGTAGAAGAATTGCATAAAATTTCAGGATATCTTTTTTCCCATTCATTCCATTCAAAGATATCCATGGGGTGCCCATTACATGCCTGGCTCTGGGACAGATACAAGAAAGAATAACACATGGTCCCTGCCCTTGAAGACAGAGAGAGAGAGACATAAGTAACAGGAGAAAGATACACAAAGAATGACAGCACACCGTGTTCCAGACACCTGCTGCTCCAGAACCCTCACTCAGCTCTTAACCTCCAGCTGCCTATCTGCCAACACATTAAAGAAAGCAAGCTAGAAGCATCATCAATCTACCCTTTTATGCCTTATCTGTGAGATGTGTGTGAGCACGTGTGTATTAAATGTACACGCAGAAGGAGGAGGAAGGGCTGGGGGTGGGACAAATGGTGGCAGCCTCACCTTTTCCTTCTGTCCTTTCCACTTGGCACCTTTAATTCCAGCTATGGCAGAAGCAGTAAGCGAGGTCCCAAAAGCCTCTGTCAGGAGCATGTCCAAAGGGAGGAGAACAAGAAACTGATCCTAGTTCTGACCATGATCTCAGTGCCAGCCATTTATTCAGGCAATATGACCACAGAATATGACAAGTTCAAGGAATCCTAGATAATCTACCAACATTTAAGAACCTCAGAAAACAAATACAATCAGCTTGGTATCCACAGGCAGGAGATACACAACTAAAACACAGTGCACCTCCCCCTAAGCCCACACGGAGGACTCACAGGGGATTCTCTACAGGAATGGAAGACATAGATGACTTCTCCATCTTATAGAATTGTGTATTTCCTTGAAAAATGGAAACAACCAGAAAGGAAATTCCACCACCTCTACTATCCCCCCACCTGCATCTGGGATACGCAGCCTCCTCCCAGTTTATGGATGAACTGTCAGGGCTTATGGCAAAAGCGACCCCTTCCTCTTAAGCACCAGATACCCTCCCCTTTCACCACTCAAAGACATCACTCCAGCCACTCTGCCCTCCTCCAACATCACCACATTTTCCCTCTACACTGGATTTTTTCCCATCAGCATAGAAACATGATGCTTTTGCCTCCTATCTTTAAAAAATACCCTCTTCATCCACTTATCCATCAGCTACTGCCTCATTTTCTTCTTTTCTTTTCAGGAAAATGCTTTGAAAGAGTTGAGTTTACTTTCATATTCTTCTCTTTCTCTCTTCTCATTCACTTATGAACCCTCTCTAAGCATACTAAACCAAACTGCTCTCATTAAGTTCACCAGAGACCATATATTGAGAAATCCATTCCAGAAACATTGGACATAATTATCACTCCCTTCTCCCTTCACTTCCCAAGACATCACTCTCTTCTGACTTTGCTCATACCTCATCACGCTGATGTTTTCACGTGGAAGCACTCCAGGGTTCAGTCCTTAGAGCTTTCTGTCTACCCTTGCTCCTTGATGGCCTCCAGTTTTATGACATTAAATACTATCCACTTGCCAATGACTCCCAAATTTATAAAACCTTCCTAGATATCTCCCTTGAAACTTCAGTTTCGTATAGTCAACTGCCCACTTGACATTTCCACTCGGAAGTCTAAAAGATATCTCAAGTCTTACATGTTTGAAGCTGGGCTGTCTCCCCTCCAAAAAAGATTATCCACTCCCTCCACAGTCTTCCCTATCTTAATGAAGGGAAACACCATCCATCTAGCTGCTTAGACCAAAACTTTTCTCTCATATCCTACACCTAACTCATCAGCAAATCAGGTCAGCTCTACTTTCAAAATACTTCTCCTCACTTGCCCTGCTGTCCCCTTGTCCAAAACATCACGTCTTGCACCTGGATACTGAAATAGCCTCCTACGTGAAGTGATCTTCCTGCTTTCAGTCCTCCAGCAGGGCCAAGGCCAGGGTTAGAATCAAGTCTGATTGGCTTTGAAGTGTATGCTCTTTGTGCCCAACCTGCTTTAGAATGCCAAGTTGTCCAACTATTTACCAAAGTCACTCTATAGAGCGTATGAGCATATCCGTGAATTCATGTATCTTGTCTGTGACTAGATTTTCACCAGTTAGCAGGAAAATAAGAAAAATAATGGTAGTGGTGAGTGTGGGAGTGTCTATATTCCTATAAGGCTGCCAATTTTCTTTTCTTGAGGGGTCCTTCTGCCTGAGATTACAGTCTTTTTACATCTGGGTATCAAAAGGTCCTTTATGAAATGTTGAAGATGGTAATTGGGTCTTGTTAATGCTCATACATAGCAAATTTTTAAAAAAATTTAGTCTCCCTATTATAATCCCAAAGCACTATTTTTTTGTTGTTCCCCCAAGAGCCCTCTTTTTTTTTCATTATACAGACATGCGTGGCTTAACAATGGGGATACTTTCTGAGAAATGCATCATTACGTGATTACACCATTGTGCGAACATCATAGAGCGTACTTACACAAACCTAGATGGTATAGCCTACTACACACTAGGCTATATGGTACCAATCGTATGGCACCACCGTCGTATATGCGGTCCGTTGTTGACTGAAATGTCATTATGTGGCACGTGACTGTTTTCAAAAGCAAGAGTTATAAGAAATTCACCCACACCAAGACCATCAAGATAAATGAGAGAATTTCCTTGTACCTTGCTAGCTGCCAACCCAGCTTGTTTATTCACTTTGTACTCTGGTGTTTCGGTCTGCATGAAGTAGATCCGGTCTTTCATATGCTCAAAGTCTTCCTGGTATTTCCTCTGTAAGACATTAAACATACTGGATAACTGCTGTGGAAGTAAACTGTACAAGGGTTTTACACGGAGGACAGAGGCTCTTTGGAGAAGTTACCTAACGCCATGCTCCTCTTGGCTTTCGCAGGTGAGATCACAACTATAGAATTCAGTGCCATCACAAAAACAATTAGCAATTTAACAGAGATTTGGAGCAATTATAAAAGGCTGAAAAACAGCCTGCAAGAAGGAGTTCTCAAAAGCCAGGGGCAGAGAACTTAAGAGAAAGGAAAAAGAAGACTTATGTTTTCCAGTGAGGAAAATCTGGGAAGAAACTAATCAGTTTCATAAATGTACTGTCTGGGTTTCCTAGGCAAAGAATATATTTAAAAGGGCCCCTTTAGGCTGTACTCACTTTGAAACTGTATTGTTCCTGGGAAAACTGAGGCGAGAATAATGGAATCTGATCAAAACAACATTTCTCAAAAGGAAGGAAAGATTGTGGGATTTCTTTGTTAATAGGAACTCTACACAGGTTTTGCCCTCAAAAAGAGGTGTCTGGATTCAAATGTTTGGCACCACGTCAGGAGCAGCAGACAGCTAGAAGTCATAAAGGAAAGTGTCACCATCTCCACCTAAGGACATCCGGCCATCCCTTCCTACTTACTGTGCTGATGTTATCAGCATTCATTCTGGCAGTTGCAACTTCAAAGCAAGGTGTCTCACTCCATTTGCCTTTGATTTTATTTTCATAGTCTTCTTTGTATTTTTGCTAGGAAAAAAAGAAAAGAAAGAAAGAAGAGAAGCAAAATTGACAAATAAGACAGCAAAGTAAGTGGTAATGGTCAGCTTTTTAAAAGATCTTGACTAGGCCCTTCTTGGGTCCTTAATAGATGTCTTCAAATCTTCCAGTGTGGTGCCAATTTACCCAACAAGAAAGTTAGGTGAGGGAGGTAGAGGTACTAATTCCCCCTCCTCTTGCTGAGTTTGGGGACTTAGTTCATTCAGAACTCATGAATGTTTCCTGATATTTGAGGGAGGAGAGTCAGAAGCATCTTCCATTTGTATTTCAGAGTTATAATAAAACCACTTAACTCCAGGGGCTGGCCCCCTGGCTTAGCGGTTAAGTGCACGTGCTCCGCTACTGGCGGCCCAGGTTCGGATCCCGGGCGCACACCGAGGCACCGCTTGTCCAGCCATGCTGAGGCCGCATCCCACATACAGCAACTAGAAGGATGTGCAACTATGACATACAACTATCCACTGGGGCTTTGGGGGAAAAAAAAGGAGGAGGAATGGCAATAGATGTTAGCTCAGGGCTGATCTTCCTCACAAAAAAAAAAAAAAAAACACTTAACTCCAGATTTCCATGCCAGATGAACTTAGCCATTCATTTCTGAGCTTTACCAAAACTCCTAGTTACCCAGAAAGCAACACCACAACAAAATTGGGCTTGCAGGATAATGAATAAGACTTCCTAGTTTACTTAAAGAAATTTTAATGAGAACAGACAAGCAATTCAAAAATTGAACTGTTGCCCCATCTTATTCCCAAACACCACCCCACCTGAATCTCAGGCTGTGAGCATCTCGAAGAAAGAAATTATGTCTCCTTCATTTTTGTATCCTCAGAATCTAACACAAAAAGCAGTGATGGTGCTCAGGGCAAGCTACGCCAGGAGGCACCACTCTGGTATGCGGATTATTTCAAGTTGAAGACAATAAGGACTCAGAGAACTCAGGAAGGATATTTGAGTTTCCCCTCCCAAACTGCCTAAAGAATTTAAAACAAAAGATCTGTTTCAGAAAGGAGTTATTATCATGACAGCTATAAAGATAATGTAGGATAGAGGTTACAATAGAAAAGGCACCAACAAGCCCATCTTATCGGAAGTTCTGTCTCTCTGGCCACATTCTCTGGATGGCCCTGCGAGGAACTGCCAGACAATCATTTACAAGGGAAGTCTCCATTTGTAAAGGTATCTCCCTCTCTGTATTGGAAAGAGGGGGGACGACCTCATTTCTAGAAACTTATCAATGTGGAAGCTGAGGCCTTAAAACTGCATAATAAACCTTACTCTTGTTTACAGTGCTTTAGTGATAATCTCCTGTAACTGACACCCCCACCCCCAACATCCTCCTTGTCTTTGGTTGAACATGGTATTTAAGACGAGAATTTCTGCAATTGTGTTGAGAAACGCAGTGTCCCTGCTTTCTCCTATGTATACATATTATTAAACTTGGTATTATTTTCTCCTGTCTTGTTAATTATTTGGCCAGCCATAAGAACCTTAAGGAAAAGGGCAGAGGGAGATTCTCCCTCTTCCCCCGACAGCAGCATGCAGAGGTTACCTCATAAATGTTCGTTCAACTACACTAAATTGAACAAAGTCCATGATATGTGGTTTTGAACTACATTGGCCTGAGTGTTCTCAGAATAAAATTAACCCAGCTAATCCCAAAGCTGGGCACATGAGCCAGAGCCAGAGCTAGGTTAGAGCAGCTTCCCCTCCTCGGCTCATAGAAATGTGTTAACAGACACAGCAAATGGATCTCAAGGTGTTTGCATGCCTACCTTGAGAAGAGTGCACACACTCTTCAAGGACAAAGAAAGTGGTTTTCTGGTGTACGTTTAACAGAACAAGTACCATGGATGAGTGATGTGCAGAGCCAGTAAGTTTGAGGTAAAGAAGCCCAGCCCTCCTCAAACGCCCTATATCTTTCCTTCTCAAAGGGTTAATATGTTAATTAATTCCCAAGTGGTTTTCATAACTATAAATTTTAGAGCCCCGGGCCTGAGTTCAAAAGCCCTGGGCCCAAGACTTGACTCCATCATTACCAACAGTGGGACTTAGCCGCTCCAAGCTTCAGTTTTCTCAACCACAAGTGCTGCCAATAATAATAATACTTACACAGAGGATTGTTAGGAAGATTAAATGAGATCATATACTGAAGAATGCTTTGTAAACTCTGTAGTGATAAACAAATGTAGGGTATGATAATTATAGTAACAATAATCACTATTACTATTATTATTGTTATTATCGTAACAGAGAGTAGGAAACTCTAGAAAAAAGAAAATTGTATGTGTGCATGCGTGTGTGTGTGTGTGTGTGTGTGTGTGAATTCTTCAGTGGAAATCTTTGCTGAGATAAGGTTTGCATTATGCTGCCAATTAATTTGTTTACCCTCCTCTTTTGAATCTGTAAAGAATTAAGTCAATAAAACTGATTTTTCGATTTGTTAAGACTGCCTCTGGAAGTGTTTCTAACCTTTTTGGGGAATAGATCTCTTCAGGAATCTGAGAAAGCTACAAAATGCCCATAAACACTTACAAGCTCAGAGGTCCTTGATGTACACACACCCCAGGTTAAGATCGCCCAATCTACAATTTTTTGTAGGGATACTGCCCATCCTCTGCTTGCTGTCAAAGGAAGAAAGCTCTAGGGGGGAAACTCTAGGATTTGTATTTAAATTTGTAATGTAATTTAAAGTTGAAAAGACAGTAGATATTCTTAATGAGGTCCAAAATTTGGGCTATTATAGAGAAATAAGAATCCCAGTGTAGATTTGTTAAAGAAAATCAAGTAGGAGATTAATTCTCACAGTGAGAGATAAATGTCTGATTTTTTGAAAGATATTAAAACAAGATGCAAAACAAAAGTATAAGACCACCCAGCCCCCTCACCCAAAGTCATTCCTCCCCTCTTCCCCTTCACAAGCTAAACCTTCTTATCTTCCCCTACCCAGAAGCCGAAATGGGTCAAGATGGAGGTGAATCTCTCACAAACCACTCCTGAATACTCTCAAGTCTGGGAAGATTTTCACTACAAAGGAGGAGATTGAAGCTTAACTGCTGAGGAAGTTATGGCCTTCCCCTTCATTTGCAGGTAGGAAAGAAGTTGAAAGGATAAGGCCTGCAGCTAGAGGAATGAGAGGGAGAGAGGGGTGTGTGTCCATGGGGGACCACCCCTGCCAGCTGGGGGGTCTCACTCTGCACATTTGGCAGCGAGGCCTGAGTGTTTGTGTGGTACATGCAGAGGGGTTAGCCATACCAGGGGTCCCACATCCAACCTTCCCCCCAACCCCACCCTAACCCTTCTCTCCAACTGTAGTGTTTGGAGTCGATCAATGGAAACCTGGAGACAAGAATCGATTTAACTTTCTCTAGGATTTTGTGTTTGTTCATTTAACAGAGGAAAGAACATCAGGTCAATTATAAGCTCTGGGACACCTTCTCTGGGGAAGAGGGCAACACATGTGGTAAGATGTAGTAAGACTGCTTCCCCAAACCCAGAAGTCAGCTGAGGGTGCTTTCACTGGCCCACACACTAGGGACCCTAGTGTCTTGCTTAAGCACATGGGCTCATTTTCTACTTTCCACGTCTGCATCTGTGATTTTGATGCAGTTATCAAATGGAAGGACTACATAGCCAGTTCATTAATCACACTTCTCCTTTTCTGTGAGTAGCTAAATACTGGGACTCCTGATGGCTTCATTCACAAAAAAAGTTACCCTCTCAGGGAGGGCGGCGGGGTCCCAACTGGTATTTTCATTGCCCACAGTGGGCTCAGAGCTGCCTTCCTGACTCAATCAAATCTCTTCTGGTGAAATCAACTGGAATCTTCCTAATTCTAGTGATAGAAGAACTTCCATGGTTTCAGAATATCAGAACCTGGCCTCTTCATGCCGTGTAACAATATGTCACTGAAAGATGTTTTCCTGGGTGATAGGAGTGTCTTTTGTTCTAAAGAGGCAAATCCTAGATAGCTTCAGGATGGAAGTTGATCATCAGAAAGACCAAGGCATGATGATAAGCTTGGAAATTCCAGCCCCACCACTCATCCTCCGGGGAGTGGAGAGGGGATGGAGATTGAGTTAATAATCAACCATGTCTACATGATGAAGCCTCCATAAAAATGCCTAATGTATGGGGTTCAGAGAGCTTCCAGGTTGGTGAACATCCACATGGTCAGAGAGTAGTGCACCCTAACTCTACGGAACAAAAGGTTCTGTGCTCGGGACACTTCTGGACCTTGCCCAATGTATCTCTTCATCTAGCTGTTCATCTGCATCCTTTATCATATCCTTCATTATGTAATAAACATAAGTAACTGTTTCCCTGAGTTCTGTAAGCCATTCTAGTAAATTATCGAACCTGAAGAAGGGGTTGTGGGAACACTGGATTTAGAGGTGGTAGGTCACAAGTACAGGAGGCCAGACTTGCGATTGATATCTGAAGTAGGGGTGGTCTTGTGGGTCTGAGCCCTTAACTTGTGGGATCTGACGCTAACTGCAATTAGATAGTGTCAGAATTGAATTGCATTGTAGGACACCCAGCTGATGTCACAGAATTGGTTGGCATGGGAAAAAACCCCACACATTTGGTTTCAGAAGTGTTGTCGGTAGAGAGTAGAGGGAACATTTTTTCTTTTCAATTCTAGATCCCAGTTGGGTATCAACTGGAAATTCCAACCTGAAATCTTGTATTTTTCCTACTGTGAATCTGGAAGAAAGCAGAGAGGCAGGCACAGAGAAACTAAAGGGACTTCCCAGTGTTGCACTCAGAACCCCACTTTCAGCTGCTTGTAGTCTGCAGAGTTTCCTCACCAAGTGCCCGCTTACATGAACAACTCTGCCTGCCTGCCCATCCATGTTAGAGCTACAAAATGTAGCTGAGCCAGGAGGAGGTGCTGGTATGTAACTGATGGCTTTGGCCAAAGACAAAGGTGAAAGAATTGATAATGACAGGTAGAGTAAGGAGGGCTCGTAAACAGAATGCAACAGCAATATAATCATTACAGGTATGTGATCATTATATTAACATGTTAACCAGAGGCTGTAAGACAAAGGGATGGATCTGGAAGACATGATTCGACAAGGAAATGCTAAGAGTTTAAATGCACAAGAGTGAGTAGGTAAAGGAGATTTTACCTAATTTGGAGAGAAAGGAAATGATGATATTGAAACATGGGTCAAAGCAGCTTGATAGTGGGGCAGACTTCAAGAGAAAGGAAATGAGTCCCACAGCTAAGTCACCCCTGGCAGCCCTACGCGTCTCTTATTGGATGGTTTGTTGCCGGATGGACTGCTACCAATCACAAGTCCTTCCAATGTGACTATTATTTTGAGTGTACAACAGCCATTAAGAATTTGGAAATCTGGGTAAGGCTGGGATGAATAACATCACCATGGCCAAATCTGGTGACCTTCATCCACAGCCATTGTCCCCTTGGCTCATGTTGTTATTCCACAAGGACAAACTCAGCCCTAGCAATGCTTTCAAAGTACCCAACAATGTCACCATATCCAACTGGAGTGGTGCAGTCCAATAGGCATATAGGCAGCCATCACCGTAATTCTAAATTTTCTAGTAGCCATATTTTAAAATGTAAAAAGGAATAGGTGGAAAATTAATTTTAATAATATATTTTACTTAACCCAATAGATCCAAAAATATTATCATTTTAACATGTATTCAATATAAAAATAAATAATGCGCTATTTTAAATTCTTTCTGTCATACTAAAGTGTTCAAGATCCAGTGTATATTTCACCTATAGAGGACACTCAGTTCATCCCATCACATTTCAAGTGTTCAATAGTCACATGTGGCTAGGGGCTATTATATTAAAGAGCACTGCTCTAAACTAACTGAGAAGTCTAAATTAGCGGAGAGAGTGATTATAGAGGAGTACTCACATTGCATACTCAAATAAGGTAAAAGAATGTTGCCTTAGTAAGATATTTTTTAAAATATGCTTTAAATAAAAACTAAAAATAGATTTCCTTTTCTTTCTAAATGACCACTTGAAAACAGCTTTTTCTTTTTCTTCCAAAAAAGATAAATCCTCCTTCCTCCCCAATCTTATTCACAATATTGACACATTCAGTGGGCCATCTCTTTATGGACAGTTCTAAAGTTAATTTCTGCTTAGCCCTGGGCAAAATTTCAGGTTCATGGTATTCCTATTAGCGAAATTTTACTGCACTTACTAGATCTTTTATCTAAATAGCCCTTGGTTATACAGTTAGGTAACCTGCAACATCAGATACTAAAAAACATCACTGAATAGATTTCATCATCCGTAACTTTTTTTGGTTCTCATTTACTAGAGACATACTTTCCCCAAAAATACTTAAGATAGAAATCTTGAGATTCCATCAAAATTCAAGCAAAAGACCAGACTGAGACTCAACTCCACAGAGGGCATGGAAAAGTATTTAAAAGCAGCAGTATCCCAAGAAAAGTGGCCTGATTTGGACTAATTTTAAATAGGAATTTAGCATGGTGTATTCATCAGTTGAACATCTGTCTCTCTGCATTCCCTGTCAGGGCTGCATTCCTCAGAGCTAGTTCACCAGCCTAAATATAGGCAGACTAAGCTGGCCTTAAAAGTTATGAGGTACGCTGCCCACTGCTGTCAAACTAAGCTATGTCCGAGAGACCGCTCCTGCATTCTTATTTTCTCTAAGTCTGTCTGAGGACATAAAACTATGCAGAATCTTCACACTGAATTAAAACAATCATATCAGCCATGGAAATGTGTGGTTACTTGGTTACGCTGTTAATATCACTCCCATAAGTCAAAATGTCAAATAACATTAGGCCATGGGTTCTGTTTTCAAAATGCAGCTTTCACATTTATCAACCATCTCATTCATCATTTGTCATTTATCAATCAACTGAGTCATCAAGTTGATTGAACATAAATTAACATGGTTCCATGATGTTAATGGATGTATTGCTTTTGCTGTAGTGTTTTTAGAGTCACATGCAAAACTACTCTGTAATTGTGTTGCATCTTTAGGTTCATCTTAGCTAGTTTCTCAGATGGTTGAGATTATTAAGCCGAGTTTTCAAGGGAAACAGTGTCCCAGCCCTATTTACTTACCTTGCTCACTTGATTGGTCACTTTCTTGGCAAATTCTACTTCTGGAGGATCCGGCAGAGATGTGAATTGAGTCCGCTGTTCAGCATGACCTTTTTTGTAGGCAATCTGACAAAATTAAAGACACGGATGCTCATGAGCCATAGAAAATCATTCTGCTTCCCATGTTCCATATGTTGGCGTTGTTTAGAAAGACTGTGTTTTCACCTTTATTTGAAGTCTTAAATTTTAGACTACATACCACATAACCATAATTTATCCTTTTAGACGTTACCTGCCCTTGCTCTCAGTAGTACTAGTGATTTTGATTTCTTTGAGTCTTCCCTATTCTCCAAGACTGTTGGCCCTAGATCTATTTCCTTCCACTCATCTCCACACTATGATTTGTGACTGAAATTATTCTCTTAAGCAGCATTCTCAACTCCCAACTTCTTGTCTTTACATCACACCTGCTGACAAACCACCCCCCCCCCCCGCCCCAGCTCTGGATCAACTCAGCCACACACTTCCTCTGTTCTTATAATGCTGAGTGCTACTGGAGAAAATCCCACAAGTCTTTGGATTGGGTAATGATAACATAATAATTGGAGTTCAAAGGGAAACAAGAAGAAGGTACAGAGTAGAGAGAGAGAGAGCCTCTTGAGCCCAAGTCCTTAGCTTGAAATCTATGTGCCTAACCAATGACATATTCTGTGAACAACAGCTTGCTTGGAGCTCTGTGCCCAATACTCTGAATTTATGGTGTCCAATTGCCACTTTGCCTTTATGGAAGCTAGAACATCCCATTATGTAGCTCTGGTCAGTCTCTATTCCCAGTGGCTAGTTTAAACCCAATACTGTCCTTAAGCCCCCAATCAACTCCACATTATGCTCAACTTCCTCTTTTATAGAATAAAGAAAAACCATACACTTATTTTTCTCTATCCTCATCCCTGCCTCTCCCGCCTGCTGTATGGCTCAGAGAAGCATCTTTTACAGGGCCTGAGTCCTGCACTCAGGCTGCTCTTCCTCCAGTAGCTCTTTGTAACTGGCTTTATCAGTCAGCCCTCATCTTTCTTACAGCTTCCACTACTCCTTTGTCGTTACACCTTTCCTTCCGTCTGTAAAAGGCCTCTCTAGCCTTAAAATAAGTATGGTGTTCATTAATCATGCATCCCCTTCACTCTTGCTCTCCCTTTCTCTTCACCACTGACTCCTCTGGCTTTTTCTTCCATCAGTCTTGACCCCTGCCTCCAACAATGCAGACCTAGTCATAGATCCCCAGACACATGAAGCCCTCTTACGTCTCTGGAGCTCATACACGCTGCTCCCTTTCCCTGGAATGCCCCAACGCCACCTTCTCCCCATCAGCCTGCAAATTGCTACTCGTTCTCTGTGTCTCGGGACAAGCACAATTACCCCTCCTGTGTCCTCCCTGACTCAATGACCTTCTCCTGGGATCTCACTCAACTTGGCCCTTACCTCCTTAAAAAGAATTATCAGATGACACCGTCACTGTTGTTTACATGTCTGTCCCTCTTTGGACTGTGAGCTCTGAGATGGCAGAGAAGATATCCTCTCATCTGGGAACTTTTGTGGCCTGCACAGCACCTGACTGGAGCTAGGGTTCAATGACGGATTTCTGAGTGTGTGTTTTACACACTGAGGCCATTGGGGAAAGTCTGAAGAGGAGAATTACCCTCCCAATTCTTCACTATGCAACGGTGAGACTTGTACAGATTATTTCTCCTTCCACGTGGCAGTATTCTTATTTATAAAGTAAAGAGGTTGTAGAGTTCCAAGGTCCCAACCATCTTCTTCATGATTTAACCAAGTCTAACTATACCTTATCTTTATAATATCTACTTAGCGCATATAACAAAAGTTTTCATGGACATTAAATCAGTTTTTTAAATGTACCTATATTAATTCCACTGCTTAATTTCTTTTAAATAAGTGAAGACTTATTTAGGCATGGGGCAACCTGTATTTTCCATGGCTGACCAAGTCCTTAGGGAGAAAGTAACATTCTGCCAGGAGAAATGCTTATTAGGTATATGACATCCTGTCAAGGACTTTCAGAGAAATCAGATCTAGAAGTCCTAATTTCTCAGGAACCTTGGTCAGAATTCTGTCTAGTTAGAAATCTGTACTCTGGATCAGCTTAAAGACACTCTTAGTGTTTGCAAAGTCTTTGGTCTCTACTTAGATAATAATGAAAGCGTGATAGTTAAAGAGGGACACAGGAGGAAGGTACAGGAGAGAGAGAGAGAGCCTCTGAACCCAAGCCCTTAGCTTGAAATCTACATGCCCACCCCAGTGCTCTGTTCTGTGAACAATAGCCTGCTGGGGGCTCAGTGCCCAACAATTGCAGAAGTTCGTGGTGCTGCCAACAGTATTAACAGGCATGTCGGTAATCTGATACTTAGTGCATACTTGGTCTACAGTAAAAATAAAAGCCATACCTTAACCGCCAAGTCTTTCTGAGGAAGGGTGGGAAGATCTTACTTCATTGTTATGTATTCTCCTTCGTTATGTCTTCTATGGCAATATCTCAAAAAATGCGGTCAGATTTAATTGTTCAAAGTCCATAGCACTAGAATGGCATAGAGGTAACCCTTCATCTCTCCATTTTGTGGATAAAGGGAAACACTAGGAGATTAAGTGTCTTCTTGGAAACCTCTCCCCAGGCTTACATGACATGGCATTTCCTGGTTCCCCTTCAATTTCTCTGTCTGTTCCCTTAATCTTTTGCTGACTCCTTTCCAAATGTCCTAAATGTGGGTGTCCTCCAAAACTCTGCCCTTGGCCATACACTGTTCTGCCTCCCTCATACACTTTCACATCTTCACCTGTCACTTTTATTCTGATGACACTCAAATATTAATCTCTTGTCCTGATCTCACACCTATGCTGTAGTACTAAATTTCTAATTTATCTATAGGACGCCTTGATCTGAATGTTCCTTCCGTTATCTCAATTCTATTTGTCTTTTCACTAATCCTTCTTTACCAGTTGTACCCCTATACAGCCAGACTACCAGTGTTTGTCATAAACTCATCTGTGGCTCCTTTCTCTCTTTTGTCTCCATTATCCAATGTCATTAACACTTTTTAAATACTTATTACCTTCAGATTCCTTTCTTTCTCTTCTTTGCCCCGTCATCCCTCTGATCTGTCTACATTACTAAAATAGTCTTCTACAAATTATCACAATTTTTCCTAGTCCCAATCCACCATATTGTCCATCAAAATTTCTCTAGATTCTACTTTTATCATATTGTTTTTCACTCCAAAATCTTACGATGCCTCTTATTGCCCACCATATCAAGTCAAAGCTCTTTTGTCTGATTTTCAAGATTCTGCTGCCAGTTTCTTACATGTGCAGTCCTACCTTAGCACCCACAGCATTCACTTTCTTTGTCCCCAAAAGTCCAGACTCAGTTCATCCCTGTCTTTTTGTTTGAGTGCTCTCTCCTTGAAATGTCTTTCCTGTTCATCAGTCACTGCCCATTCCCTTGGGATCACCACCCTTACACAGTCTTCTCTGACTACTCACATGTGTCCTGTCTTTCACTTAGCAAGTATTAGATTGTAGTGTTTTGTTTTGTCTTGTTTTTACTGTTTTCTTATTGATTGATATATAACACTTTTTTCTTACCAACCTGATTATAAATTCTCAAGGGAAAGAGTGAAAACTTCTTGTCGTACTTTTCCATCCTGCCAGGTATGCATGCATAATTGACTTTCAATAAATAAGATTGATCAATTGATAAAAGTCACACAATATTATATATTCATGACATACAGAATCAAAAAGCTAATTTTAAAAGAGAAGTGGGAAGTCTCCACACATTAATATTGGTGACATGTAGGGGCCGGCCCCGTGGCGTAGAGGTTAAGTGCGCTCCGCTACTGGCGGCCCGGGTTCAGATCCCTGGCACACACCAGCACACCGCTTGTTAAGCCATGCTGTGGCAGCGTCCCATATAAAGTGGAGGAAGATGGGCACAGATGTTAGCCCAGGGCCGGTCTTCCTCAGCAAAAAGAGGAAGGATTGGCGTGGATGTTAGCTCAGGGCTGATCTTCCTCACAAAATAAAATTGGTGACATGTATTAGACGACATTAAAATTTTGTTATATCTTCTTTAGTTCCTAACTTGCCATCTGGAAGGATAGCAGTATATCTGTGCTATATTTTAACCAATTTCATGCAAACTGGGATAGAAAATATGTCTGCTAAATCTGCAGGTGATATCAAGTGAGAGGTAATAAAAATTAGATCTCAAAAGCTGTATACACCGTCAAATGAGTGTGTATAATTTCAGTTCAGGGCACGATAGAATCCTAAGATCCATTGGAAGTAAATCCCAATAAGTCTCAAGAGGCCAGCTGATTTGCTAAGTCCGTATTGAACGTAAGAGGTTCCAGGGATTTAGCTGACATTTGAATGAAAAATAACTTGTCATTTTGTAATACAGTGATCTCCTGAAAACTAGAGCAATAGCCTTTGAATTTTCAACATGGCCTCTAGCAAATCCAGGGGTCAAGAAATAAAGTACCTTAAAACAGGGGGAAGAGCTGGGCCCAAGGGATGCTCTCTGCTGCTGCTGCTTTCAATCCTAAGGACTCTATTGGGCTTTATAAGTTCCTCTAATAAACTGTTTTCAAGGTCTAGGATACTAAAATTCTGGCCAATGGAACTGCTGATTTTTTGCTAACTCTGAAATACCCTCCGTGTACACTGGTGACAAGAGCTCTGTGTGGGATAACTACACACACATGTTTGGACAAGTATGTCAATCGAGTCCCCCATGCAGAAAAAGGAGGACAACTACAATATAGACTTTATGATTAGGATAGCAAATCAAAATCCTTCAATAAGATTATTCACTTAATAAATTTGGGAAGGTGGCTACGATTCCAATAGGTTTTTTAAATGCCACTCTAGCGTCACAGAAAAACTTCAACTCCAGCCAAGGGGACAGAATAGTGCATGTTCTAGTGGAAAAAATATTGGTCATGGGATCACAAGACCAGGCTTGTAGTCTGGGCTCTGCCACTAACTGCGTATGTGACCCTAGACTCAAGTTCGTCCTATAAGAAGAGGTGACTAAATTATATCTAATATAAAGTATAAAATCTAATTTAAATTAGATATCACAAATTACAATGATTTTAGATATATTCCTCCTCAATAAGGGTATTCTGTCTTAAAGAACTGCAATGAGCAACCAGCCAGAAGATGTAATTCAAGATGTCCTGATTCCACACTCCCTAATGGTGCTGACTGCGTTTCACTTACATCACTGAGAGCTTTCTGGGCTTGGGCAACCCTCCTCAGCTCCGGGCTATCGTTATATGGGTAAAACAAACTTTTATCTGCTTCCCAGTCTTCAGTGTACAGTTTCTAAACCAAAAAAGAGTGAAAAGTTGTGAGACAGTGAAATCACACTTACATGAAATGCATAATCTTCAATTCATTCATCAATGGCACCAAGAACCAAGGGCAAGGTGGAGCAAAGGTAAGTGGAACTCACGGATAACCTCCCCCTTTCCATCCAGTCCAAGTCAGATTTATTAATAGCTTATCCCACTTCTGACAAATCTTACTTGCAGGAGGGCAGATGTGTCTGATTTTGTTTCATCTCCTTTCTGTCACTTTACCTGCCTCCTGCAACAAGTACTAATGCAAGTGTAAGGAGCCAGGAAGCTACCTAGTGCAGTTTCTGTCAACAGCCAGTAATATCCAAGGTATAGCATAGGGTCTACAGAAAAACTTAAAACATTTACTTTGTGGGTCTCTCAGAGCTGGATCTCAGGTGCGTCTTCCTCCTCCAGGACCTTCCTCAGGTCCCCGACAGGACCTTCCCCTCCACTCTGCCCAAGAGCTTTCTTCTCAGTTCCTCCTTGCCAAGCCTACCCCTGAAACCTCAGACGTCTCAAGGCTACTCACAAAAATATTGGGGCATCATACTCCTGATTATCAAGAGTTTACCAGGTATTCCTTTAAAGGACGTGGAGGGAGGATATAGGAAGAGAGAAGTGACAACGGAGCAGAGGCCCTTACCTTACTGAACATGGCTGTGTTCTTAACGGCTTGGACAAGTTCAGGGGCATCAGGGGGAAGCAGGTACTTATCCTTGGTGTCTTCCCAGTTCTGCTTGTATAAAACCTAGACAGAAAGAGCAGAGGACCTGTGGCTTGATGTGTCCCCCAAGAGCATGAAGATTTAGAAAACAAAGGAGAAAGAGTGCTGTGAAGATCTTTCATACCGAAGGTGTCCTCGCACAGAGGCTGCCGATGTGCCCATGTGTTACTATCATCAATTATGAAAACATTGATCATGTCAACATCCCATAATACTTTTCCTGCATTAGTAAGCTTTTACTTTGAAAAGTCTAATTTTTTTAACTAAATCATGACTCTAATTCTCTATAGATTCCTTTCAAAGGTTGCAACTTATCAGTCATTGGCTGATGTTTCTTTTGACTTACATGGTATTTTTAAATAGTGTTTTTAATTAGTTGCCTATATTTGAAATTTGGAGATTTCTCATAAAAATTCAGATCCCAACTTTTTTAAAGAAATAAATAAGAGACTCTGGGGACACCGGGACTGCATTTTGTGCAGCAACTGCCTGGAGCAAAGTCACAGGGCACAGGCTCTTCTGTACACCATAGCTCCTACGGCTCACTTCGGTCATCTGCGCAGCCTCCCTGACACGTGGGGGCGTTAGAGCTCCCAATGCCTGGGATTCGAGTGAGACTGGTAAGCAGGATCAGGCCTGTCCAGTCTTCTCCTCTAAGGCCAGGCAGAGGTAATACACATGCTATTTAGTTTCCCAGCCATCCATACCATGATCTTACCTTACTGACTTGCTGCGACACTTTCTTTGCATGTTCAATGTCCTTTGCTTTTTCATCTACATGACAAATAGTTTTAGCAACATCGCCATCTATTCGATACTTAACCTGCAGAAATAATGCACAATTAGAGTCCACGACAGGCATGAACATGTCAATATATTAAAGAATATCTTATAATCAAAGAGCATTGACCCAATCACTCTATGCCTGTATCACAAAGCAAAGTTTCTGCATTTTAGACAGAAAACTGTGATCTCCAAAGATCCGCAGAGCACCTGCATTTACTGCCTGTCTGCTTTCCTGGCTGAATTTCAGCCTCCCTATGCTCCAGCATGGGAGACCACAGCGAGTCGGAACTTCCATCTTATATAACCTCTTAAGCTAAATTGCTAAGCCAAGCTGTTAGAAATCTCTTTGGGTTCACATTAAGAGGAACATAATCTATGGCCAATGCTTCTTCTAGATTTCTGGAGTGGCTCACGGTAATTCTCCCCCTATTCTCTCCACACCTATTTAGAGCCCAAAATTCCTAGTGCTAGGCATATCTTTGCAATGTCTGTCTCCTTTATTTTAGCAGTGCAGCCCACCTCACTGAGTTGATCTTGTACTTTCTTGATTCTGCGAAGTTCTGGAGTATCGGTTGTGATGGCATATGGCTGTCCTTTTGCTTTCTCATAGTTCTCCTTGTATTTATTCTGAAAAGAATACCAGATATTAGCCTTAAACCTGACAAGACAGCAGCAGAAATTTCAGGCAATATACTCATCCCCATCTGATTAAAAAAAAATTCTGCAAGTTATGACAATTATCAGTTGTAATAGCTTTCTTTTTGTCTCTTACCCCGATCCTCAGCAAAAACTAAAATAGATTTGCTAATTGCTCTTCCTAGACATGGTTAGATATGGGAGACAACAGTTTTATTACAGACTATTGTCTTGGAAATGCCCTAAAATGATTCTCTCAATGTTTTTATTGTCTGAATACACACATAAAAAGCCTGAACCTCAATAATTTTAGAAAATAAACCTAGAAATTGAGTCAAGTATGAAAAGATTTGATTGCTAATACAATGCAAAAATATTCAATTCAGAAGCTGCAACTAAATCTCAGTGGTTTGGGTAGCTGAGACACCAGCTGAATTAATGGAAAGTCTGAATTGTGGACTATTTTGAAAAGGAATGCAATTTTATTATTTCTGCTAAACATATAATGAGTTCTTGCTTTAAAAATAATGTGTATAATTTATCATTATTAATGCCTCAAGAATACTCTTGAGTGGAGTAGTCAACAATCTAAATTGTACTATCAGTTTAGTTACTAAACACTTTAAAAATATTATAAGCGTTTGCCAACATTTTGTTCACACGCTCAGAAATTCTAGGCTATTAAGTGTCTAAATTAATGAGATTTTATGGCAATAAATTGACAAAAAAAATTTCTCTCTTTGCTGAATACTGCAGTGATAAAAGAGGCAAGACAATCTTGTTTTTAGAAATCTAAGTCTTAGGATCATTCAAGAATCTAAATTAGAAATTTACCAAATAGTCCCTAAGAGTTAACACTAAATCAAAAGTGAATATTTATTAGCCAACCACAATAGGACGCTTTTGACCAAAGCACTAGTCCTATATAACCCAATGTTTCCCCGAGATACTTTTCATTTTTTTCAAGCCACCAGAGGACATGCAATCAGGCCAGCAAGTGAGATCTCAGCCCACCATGGACAATCAACAAATTGAATCCATTTGAATGGGTCTCAATCTGCTGCCAGTCAGTGTAACTTAGAGAACTGCACACGGAAATTTAAGGACCAGGGACCATCAAGAGCAGTGATTCCCAGAGTGGACTGCACATTAGAATACCTGGGCAGCTTTTAAAACTCCTTCCACGTGGGCCCCAGACCCAGTCTGATTAAACCAGAATGGCCTGGGCAGCAGTAGTTTTAAAGCTCCTAGGGGATTCCAGTAAGCAGCCACAGTTGAAAACCACTGTCCTAGGGTACAATCAAACATTCCAATATTCAATTTCAGATGAGTTCTTAGTCTGATCCTGGTTTTCTAAACTGCATGTTCTTCTTCACTATACATCTCTTAGAGACCTTTTCACAGACTGTGAGCTAATCCACTTAAGAGGCATCCTGCTCAGACATAGTTTGAATAGATGTTATTTAGCTTCCATGAACTGATTTCAGTCTAATCTATATTTATGATTTCATTACTCTAGATTGGCTAAGTAATAGTGATTAAATACCAGCAAATGCTTTATATTTGGTCTTTTGCTTATTTTGCAGGAATAATTTGAATAAGGATGCTTTCCCTGATGCTGCAACGGTACCCGTGAATTACAGGAAAGGAAAACTCAAGAGTCACAAAAGCTTATATTTCTGCAAAATAAGTTTTGTCTTGTACACAAAATCCAGAGAAACAAAATCCAGCCAGCTTCCAAAACAGACTTGGTTGAGATTAGTAATTTCTCAATAATAAAACCAGATTAGCAGAAGTCAGTTGAAACTTACTGTGCTAAACAGATTCTGCATTTTCTGACTGTGTGCAATGTAGGGGGTCATGAACTTGGAAGGGTCGATCTTCTTCCGGATAACTTTCTTTCTCTCCACTGGCTTTGCCAGTTCTGGCTGTGCCAGCACTGATCTGGAAGGCTTTGATTGCCCATAGTCAGATGTTGTTGTCGTAGTTTCATAGAAGTGTGTTATTGTCTGAAAATTTGACATGTTGTTCAACATAGTTATGAAAGCAAAAACTACGATACCAGGATCCTGCTATTCTGACTTCAAGTCAGACTTAGATTCCTGGTGTTACTTCTCCATATCTAAAACAAGCCAAAGCAGGAAATCACACACTAGAGCCATTTGAAGGCACATTATGTTACATATGCTTAACGCTGGTTGTTCAAGATTGCATTGCATGGAGTAAAAAGGTTACTCCTTAGTAATTTGCAACGTTACCTTAAAATTCCATTTGCAGAAAATAACTCACTTTAAGGTAGGATAAAAACCAGAAGTAAAATATTCTTAAACATTTAAAAATCTTCTTAAATTGGGGAAAGTAAAAACAAACTTGGGATCAGGGAACAAAAGATTAAGACAATCAAGTAAAACTCAAATTCTAAACTTTTAAATGAATCTAAGAAAAAGTCAGTTGCTTGTTCTGCAGGCATTAGGCACTCTCCCCTGTAGTATCAGACAAAGAATAATGAACTTTAAAAAAATGAATCACATCAGGGCCGGCCCCGTGGCATAGCGGTTAAGTGCGCACGCTCCGCTGCTGGCGGCCGGGGTTCGGATCCCGGGCGTGCACCAAGGCACCGTTTGTCAAGCGATGCCGTGGTGGCATCCCATGTAAAGTGGAGGAAGATGGGCACAGCTGTTAGCCCAGGGCCAGTCTTCCTCAGCAAAAAAAAGAGAAGGATTGGCATGGATGTTAGCTCAGGGCTGATCTTCCTCACAAAAAAAAAATGAATCACATCAATATTACAAGTGATTACCATTCTCTTGGCTTAGTCAGTTAATTAATGTGAACTAGAGTGCCATTTACACTAATAAATGCTTAGGTGGACGAGAATAATGATGACAATATAGTGGGGTAATTATCCTCACAGCAGTCCTGTGTATGTGGTAAGTGGGAAATTACTGTTTCTTATAACAGGCTGTAGTGGCAGAAACTAAGGCCCCAAGTTTGGGTTTAGTCCAAAGTTAAAAATACTATATGTAAGAAAAGAAGTTAAGTAGCCAAGTCTTCAATCCATCTCATAGTATAATTTCCTTCACAGCTAATGTCATCTGCACAAGGGAAGAGTTCTAGCATCAATTATGGAAAGAAAAACCTAAGTAATAAGGAAATTATACATCTAATGACAACTCCCCGTAGTGTTGTCAGATCATTGCTAAGAGGCTGCTTTCTGCTTGTTATTGCTCACGTATGGTTGACCTTGAGAAACTAACCAATTTACAGCATCTACAGATGTTAGTTTTCATGCAGTCACAGGCTCACTGAGCAGGCTTCAGGGTTAGCCATCCATATCACTGCTTGCAGTGCTCAAGAGAAACTGGTCCTTGCAGAAAATGAAGCATGAGTGAGGTATTTCACCTTGAAACAAAGTTCCAACTTGGAATATTTATGGGAATGGCTTTCTCGGAATTCCTAATGTGCTAAAATCTGACTAGCATTTCATGGCATCATCAGGGACAAAGGCTTGGAGGCACCATCCTGTTGGCAGAGATGGTGCCCCTCAAGTTACAACTCTACACAATAAAACTGCTGGTCCCCATGCCAACCACAAGTCCAAGGCCATCTCTTTGCTGCAGTCAGAGGGTGGTGACAGCCACTGACATTACTCTAATTAGCATCACCTACCCCAAAAATAACACTGAGCAATGGGGGAAAGCAACCTGCAGCCATCTTGGATATGTTGAATAGCAAAAACAGTGATGAAATCGATCAAACAGACAACATTCATTCTCGTACCACCAGCTGCTGGGCATACACAGGTGAGTGCTCCTCCCTCAGATGCTCCCTTTTGCCAGCTCTGTGGCCCCGGGAGCGTGAGAGAGGAGCAGGCTCTTCCTGCTTTAATGAGCATGCAGTTCATGCAGGTGTGGGCTGGGTCTTACCTCCCTCGGCTCCCCTTCGTAGACTGTCTCTTCTGTGTAGTACTATAAATAGAGCACAAAGGTATCATCATGAGAACCAAAGCAGAAATCACCTCGAGTCTGCTTCAGCTGAACCTCACAGGTTATTTCACTAGCCCAGTTAATTTGCTATATCTGTGGGAACAAGTAGCCGAGGGAGCCTGTCCATACTTAGTGAAACTTCAGGGGAGCTAAAGTGAATGCCATCAGACTGGACAAGGGGATGCAGAGTGATGAGAAAGGTGTCTGAAGCTGGTTATTAATCAGGGGAAGCTATTTTATTTGGGACAAGTAAAATTTTTTCTTATGGTAACTAAGATTGAATTTGCTGAGAAAAAAATATAACAACAATCTCGTGAGTTTGTGGGTTGGGCAGAGAGGAACTGTGATAAAACTCACTGTTTGCTAACTAGCAATAAAACAAAACAGAAACCTCAGCGTGAATAAAATTTTTAAATGGATTGTATCATGGAAATAATAGATCCATAGGTGTATATACACCTCAATTATCCCTATACCACCCTGACTACTAAGTAATGAGAGCTTCCTCCAGAGTGATGGGTGAATCCTTTCCAGTAGTGTGGTGGTGCTAAGAGGAAAATTTACAAATGTCAAGGGGAGAAGGAAAAAATGAGAAGATTCCTCATCACAAAATGGGGGAAAGTTAGGCAGCAATTTGCCTCTGACAGCTCTAAGGTGCTTGCAGGCTGGATCTGAAATCAAATCTACTTTTGTTGTATTTCTGACATCACCAGCAATAAATAGACTCGGATAGGAGCTGGCTGACATTTCGTTTCAGATGCGTAAGGAGAGTGGAATCTTGCCCTTAGTCTCACCCAGAAAGCTGGGTGAACAGAAGGAAAGACTGGTTTAGGCCAAGGCACACAAGGAAAGGGATAAAAATGAAAGACTTGGCTCATGTTCTCAGTCAACAAAATGTATAACATTTTATGCTTCATTTTTCTTTTCCCTGCCACCAAAACATATAGGAAAAGGGAAAAACACTAAATGCAAAATTTCCCTCCGAGGCCTCCTTTCTTCCTCCCTTGGTTGGGTGAACTCTCATCAAATTACTTAACCATTATCAATAGGCCACATGCTCTATTTCACTCGCGGAAAAATTAGTGTAAAACTTGCCTAATGTCCCTCACTCTTGCATTTTCTTTGCTTCTGTACTATTTCTTTTTTTACTTGAAATCTAATTCTGTCTCTGTGTCCTTACACATAGCAACAGAAATCACAAGCTCTAAAGGCACAGAATATTTCTCTTTTACATATTTGTGCCTTCATCACATGGGAAATATCATTTGGACACTTTAGAAAATACTATTTGATGCTGATCCACATGGAACTGTTCCTCTGGCCACACAGAACATCAGTGACTTGAGAAGAAATATTAAACTAAAATGAATGATTCACAACTGTTTTGGATTTTCTCAGCATCCAAATAAAAGCAGCTCTTTGGAAATTTTACCTTTCCTGGGCTCTCACCATTGGTAAATATATCTTAGAAATAAGCTTATAAAAAAGGCAACATTATCCAAATGGTTGGCATTAACTTCTATGCCAAATCTCAGTTTTTTTTTAGATCTGTGCCACTAATTAGATAGTACACCTGTGCTTCTTTTCCTTTCTTTCAAATTTTGTTTAAGTTTGAGTAGAGGGTCACAGCACAATTTTATTTAGATGTCCAAGATCCCTAAGAAATATATTTTTAAAGCTAGACTATTTTCTCTAATCTGCCACCATCCCATTCTCATGGCATCGTTTTTGAGGTCAGAGAGACCTTGGTTCTGAATTTCTGGCAGGAAGTCTATAAGTTTAGCACCTGCTGGTCAGACCCAGAAGCAGTAATGGGAACAAAATGGCAAGGATGAGAAGCCTAAAAATAGCCCCTTCCATTTTTACGACATCTAGTTAAATCAATCAAGTCTAGCACTAAGGACAATTTTCAGTGACCGATAAATACAATTATTTTAAGAAAGGTAAGGATATTTAAGTGGGAGGCTAAAAAGTATTCCTGGTATTACCATCATGGAGAAGGCAATTTAATTTATAATTGTGTTAGTGTTTGCTAGTGATTATTCTGACCCTTAGGGGTGTATGTAAAATGCACACTAGTGATAATATTGAACATTGAGGATGTGGCCTTTGGCGTTTAAACCAGAACAGTTGAATGTTATATTGTATGAGATTTGTTCTGTTTTTTTTGTTGTTGTTTCATATTCTTCAGTAATAAAAGCAATTTCATTTGTAGAATAAAATAAAATTTTGTTCATCTAAATATAGACTGATCCATAAAATAATCTGCCAAAAAGAAATTTTGGCACTTTCATTTGAAATTTGATTCTGGGTTAATTTCATTCTTATTAAAAAGCACGGATTTTCAACACTGCCTCCAAGTGTCTCGGGCACTAGGAGATTTTCATGTGTTTAGATCATCATCATTAATTGGTAATTATTAAGCACTTTCAGATTCAAAGGCAATGTATTTATATGGATGTGAAGCTAAAGGCAAGAGCTGGTGAAGAAAAACCATAACATGATAAAAACAAAATTATATAAAATAAACAATTAACAACTTTGTAAAACATGTCAGACATCCACCAATAATCAAGATGCCCCCTATGGTCTTTGCTCTTTTTCAAAATTCAAATGCAAAAGCTAGTCTTGTTCCCTTGGATATATATAATGGAGTTGGTGGGAAAGTGTGGCTCCTACTGTCACTCAGAAGCAACACGAGTTTATTTTTATATATGTGTGTATATGCACATATATGTATTTATAAAATCTCATATAAGCGTATAATCTCATATATATTATTCTGATCATTTAATCCATATTGCCCTATAGATAGGCTAGTTAAAGCAAAGAGTAAGTAGTTCTTTTTCCTCTTTTGCTATGCAGGCACTAAGAAAAAGAGTTTAGTTTTCAGAATTTTCATCTCCTCCGTCCCTTTGATCAGGGGGTTGGGAGTTGGGGAAGAAGGTAGTTTAAAAGACAAATTAAAATCCACTTTACTCCACACTTTGTTTTTCTGAGAGTTTAAAGAAAAGCAAAGGTGGGAAACAGCGATATTTCTTTTCAATTCTAAATCCCACATAATTATAGTGAAACTGAACGTAAAATATTCCTTTTTCATGCTTTAATGATGACTCCTTGTGAAGTTATAATAGACAATGTATTTTTCGAATGATTAATTCACCTACAAGGCTTTGATTGTTGCTACATAAAATACTTTGCTGTCAGAGTTGGGTTTTTTTAATCTTACCTCCACCACCTCCTCATATTCGTCGTCGTCTGCCATTTTCCCAGAGTAGTAGGGGCACCTACAAACTTTTCGTATTCCAGACAGATGAAAATACATTAGAATCTCTCCCCAGGACTGAAATCATCTTATAACACTACAAAAACAGGATTTAAAACTAATCCATTCTACACAGTCATACACTTTTGCAGGCTAAGTGAGAGAAGACATTTAAATACAGGTCTGAAAAACTGAAGCTTCAAATTTCTTTCTCTTGATTCCTTCAGGAACGTGTTGGGTATTGCTCCTTCTAGTTACACAATCAATTTAGTTAAAGTTGTAAAAGGAAGTTGAGGTCAGGGAGTGAGAGGGTTTGGATTCAAAGGAACAGAGTATTTAAGTTTCCAAATACTTGGAGAAAAACATTTTCAAGCAAAAATTTTAATGAAAGGAAATTCAGCTCGTCTTTCAGAAGAAGTTGGAATTCTCCCCTCAGCCCCAAAATTCTAAGAGGGCTGCGTTAGGTCTCCATTCTGCTCTAATACATGGTACACAGTATATCCTATGCTTCAAATTAGGACATGTAAAAATAAGTGTGCCAATAGATTTTAAAAGAAAAATAGAAACCTCAAGGCAATGGGGTTATTTTCTTCCCGAACACCATTGGCTTGTATGAATTTTTCTCTTCTGTTTCTGTAGCTCCTGTTCCAACCTGAAAAATAACAGGTTTTCAAAGCATTGATTGAAGGGCATATAAGACTGTGGGGCTTGGGTCTAAGTTTCCAATTCAGGAACTAACGTAAGGATTTCCCAAGGCCTTCTGAGTTGGACGCCAGAGAGGGAGAGTCCCTCTTGACAAAAGTGGATGATGACTTGGAGCAGCTGTCCCTTCGCCCAAAGATATTTGCCGTGTAAACCAACACCCTGCTGGGGCTGGTTTTGTTAAGCTAGCGAAACTGGCACTCCTTCTGAGGCAAAGGAAATCCAGTAGAACAGGATAAATATAGGAAGGCAAAACATAGATCTTTTTCCGTACTAATATATTTAGGAAAAAAAACAAAGTCAAAAAATGAAAAAAAATATTTGTTAGACAAGAAAGCCAACTCAGTCAAGCAATACATTGGTTAGTATAAGACTTGACTCTAATCACACACTACATGTCAGTTATTAGTAGGGCCTGAGTAGGGCAATGGGGTTACAGACTTTCCTAGCCATGTTTCCATTACTAATTTCCCCGGTTAAGACCCAAAACTTTGGAAAATACTTCAAGGGAAGTTGTGGAACATCTCCTGAAAAAACATTACAGAAAAAACCATCGTTTGGCCTTACCTTCAATCTACCAAATAATTTTTCTCAGCAGCAAAGCCTCTCTCAACTCTCCCCTCCTGAGAACCCCAGACAAGAGCCAGCGTGGTGCCTGGGCTCCGAATTATCATGTGGCAAGACCAGCCAATCAGATCTTGAGTCACTCAAATTCCAGAAGCTAAATATACTGAGTGATCTTCTGAAAACCACCTGTTCATCAATTCCACTAAAGGATAAAGGGTAACAAATTGCTTGCTTAGAACTATTCAAACAGAATGGAATTTTACCTAACTTCCAGCATATCGGGGTTCAAATTTAGGTTTAATCTCTAGTTTACTGTAGCGCTGTTTGATATGATATTCATGAGAAAGAATTTAGGAGAAAATAAACATGGCTTTGAGGGGTTTCGACCCCTCTGTAACTGGTTTCTTCACGTCATTTGTTCAATCGTCATGGAGGTAAACATGCTGGCTCTTGTACAGCTCACCAGGTGAGCTCCAGGTAAGTTACAGGTGTGGATTTGAAAAAGTAGAGGAATACGATCCAGAAAATATCAAGTTGGCAAGAACAATTTTTTAAAATGTGAAAAAATAAGTGATAGGTGAAAATATTTGATGGTAACACTTGTTAAGATATCTACAGGGTGTAATTGGAGAGATTAGGCCCCACCATTTTTCTATCACTAACCTAGGGGCTATGCCAAGATCATATTCATTATCTGCTCCCTCCCTAGGTAAGGCCAGCTGCTAGGAATACAGAGCCTCTGTCACCTGTAACTGGGTTACCGATTTTCTATTTTCTCAGATGGTTCCTAGAAGCAAAGTGTGAACGCAGGCACAAGAGGCTTCAATTTCGAAACAGCAAGAGCAGATAAAATGGAAATCAGTAAATTGCTAGGAGAAGATAATGCTCTTTTAGGCAAGTCAGAGTGTAAGACATTGACTTTGTGAATATTACCTAACAAATTTTCTACCTGAAGATAATTTTCAATGATTTAATCTCTCTCCACTTCTCTGTACTAAGGCCAAAACCCTGTGGGTCACCTGCATCTTGATATGAATTTGAGATTAAACATATTGTAACAGTTCTTTTTTAGTCAAATGTGAGGAAGTAATCATATATTTCAAACATATGTACCGCTCCTCTTTCCATGATTCATATGGTGGTAAATAAAATTGAACATCATTTTATCATCTCAACTAATTATTCCTCTTCATTTTGTATGTTCTCACAGGTCTTATGACCAAGGGATATGTGTGTAATATGACGTCATTCACTTGGTAGCTGCAAACTAGAAGAAGGGTGACTTACTACTCATTATGTGCTTTTTTTTTTTTTAAAGATTTTTTTAATTTATTTTTTATCCCCCCAAAGCCCCAGTAGATAGTTGTATGTCATAGCTGCACATCCTTCTAGTTGATGTATGTGGGACGTGGCCTCAGCATGGCCAGAGAAGCGGGATCCGAACCCAGGCCACCAGCAGCGAGCGGAGCGCGCGCACTTAACCGCTAAGCCACGGGGCCGGCCCTATGTGTTTTAAAATATGGTGTTGAATTGAAAAATAATACAGACCCATTTTTAAAAAAACATATGGTACAAAATTATATAAGGTAAAAAATAAGCATAGACATTCTAATGCCAATCTGGAATTAGGCCCTCCAGGGATGAAAGAGCAGCTCTATTTGTCTGGCCTATCTTTGGCCTCTTCTATGGGACAAGAATAAACTGACACCCTGATTTATTGGTAGGTTCTTGTCACATGCCTTGCACATAGTAAGTGCCCAATAAATGTTAGCTATTATTGTTTTTTAATTATTATCACCATTTTTTTACGTTTTATTGGAGTCTTCACTTTTACTCTATTAGACCGAAATACCAAAATATTATGAAGCTTCTGAAATCAGACAGTAGTTAATCTAAGAATTCATGAATACACAGGAGTTTGACTAGAAGTCTTGACTACAAAGCAAAGCAGAGTACAGTTAGGTGCCAATAGCAGAGCTTCAGACAATGTTTTTCAAATATCAAAGTATAGAAGAGTCACGTCTGGGGACTAGAAGAGATTTGATGGAGGAGAGATAGCATTGTAAGAGTTTTCGTTGTTGCAGTTTATTTGATCTTATTAATTATTTTAGTCAAATTATATATGCACATCATTTAAGAATTAAAGGGGCCAGCCCAGTGGCGCAAGCAGTTAAGTGCGTGCACTCCGCTGCAGTGGCCCAGGGTTCGCCGGTTCAGATCCCAGGCACGCACCAACGCATGGCTTGTCAAGCCATGCTGTGGTGGCATCCCATATAAAGTGGAGGAAGATGGGCACGGATGTTAGCCCAGGGCCAGTCTTCCTCAGCAAAAAAAAAAAAAAAAAAAAGAATTAAATAGTTTTGCAAGGCTTGTTACTAAAATCAGTACCCCTGCTCCCACTGTTCCTCTATTTTTCCTTCCCTGGAGACAATCACTTTAACTCTTTTAGCTTCATCTTTTGTTATTTATTTCTGCACATTTAACAAAATGTCTACACTGCTCTTTTCTGATTTTTTCAGTCATAGGCATCATCTGTTAGGGTCCCACATTGGAAAATGAGACTTTAGCTCTCTCTCACATAAATCCTCACTCTCACCAGACACAAATCTCATCTTCTATCCCTCTATCCTCCCAATAAAGTTCTTTTTGTGTAATTCAGAATTCAATGTTTACATTATTATCATTAGCAAAAGGCTATTCACAGCTGAACCCCGTATATTATGATCATTTTTCTTTTCCTGAGCAAGAGTTTGTTTTCTATATGTAAGATATATGTTCTGAGTTGATATTTCTCTCTCTGTCTTTTTTTCCTCCCCTGGATTAATTTTTGTAGACAAGCAGTATCCAATAGTACTTTCTGTAATGATGGAAATGTTCTACACCAGCACCATCCTATATGGTAGCCACTAGCCACATGTGGCTATCGAGTATTCAAAATGTGACTAGTGGGGGTCGGCCCCGTGGCTTAGCGGTTAAGTGCGCGCGCTCCGCTGCTGGTGGCCCGGGTTCAGATCCCGGGCTCGCACCAACGCACTGCTTCTCCGGCCATGCTGAGGCCGTGTCCCACATACAGCAACTAGAAGGATGTGCAACTATGACATACAACCATCTACTGGGGCTTTGGGGGGAAAAAATAAAAATAAATAAAATCTTCAAAATGTGACTAGTGTGACTGCAGAACTGAGTTTTTATATTTTTTACTTAATTTAAACTTAAATAGTCACATGTGGCTGGTGGCTATCGTGTTGAGCAGCACAGTTCTAGACACCTAACACTAACTACCTCAAACTTCCTGTCTAAATCTGCTCTCAATATTTTCAAAGACATCTGGTAGTGTTCTATAATGTACCCATTTCATCTTCTTAGATCTCTCAGGGAGACTTTTGTTCCATCTGGACTAGTTCCCTCTGTAGCTGGTGCTACATTTCATCTCATCTTCATCCCCCTTCACTGTCATTCTGGTGTAGGATTCCAAAAAGGAAATCCAACTCCAGTCTCGGGAAGGCGCGGACCCACAGACACAGGAGACCGAGCTTGATGCAAATGCACGAGGTTTTATTAAGCGGAGCTCCGGGTCGACACGTATCTCTCGCAGGAGACAGAGGGGTCGACCCCGAACCTTAAGGGGCAAGCTCTTTTATAGGATTCAGAAGCATAAAGCGGGAAAAGGTTGGCGCGGTCTTACATGATTGGCTAATTTAAAACATTTAAACAGTTACATTTTATGGCGCGAATTGCTATGGCGCGAAGCAATTATCAGGTTACACACACGCGTCCCCATCTGGACCCCCTCCACCCCGACCCTCCCAAACTTATCCCTCTGGAGCACTCTCTTGTTCTCAATTTTCCCCGAACAGTTTAGGGCGAGTCTTCTATGAATAGAGTCAGTCAGGATCGATAAACGTTCCCCCTTATACCAGGAATCCTTAGGGTGTGGAGGTGCCTGTCTCTAAGGTATTAACTTTTAAATTTTTAATATAATTTACTTCCTTCACTGGGGATTCCTCTCTTCTCTCTCCTGAATTCGACCTTGGGTTTCCTGGATCCCACGACTTCCTCTTTCTTGATTAACTTTCTTGTTTTGATGGAAGATATCCTCCAGTAGTTTCCTGAGACAGGGTACTTGGAGGTAAAATCACATCTGGCAAGTCTGAAAATACCTTAATTCTATCTTCACACTTGATTGACATTGGCAGGGTGTAGATTCATGTTCCTTAATCATTTTGATGTCATTGTTCCACCACTATCTAACTTCCAATGCTATTAGTGAGAAGTCTGAAGCCATTCTGACCTTTCACATATGACTTTTTTTTAATCTCCTGTCTTCTTCATTTCCAGAATTCTGAAATCTCACCTCCCTTCCTATGGATCTATTTTCACCCACTGTTCATGGCACTCAATGGGCCCTTTCCATTTGGAAACTCATATACATCAGTTCTGCAAAGCTGTCTTGAATTATTTTCACGATCTCCTCTCCTCTGTTTTCATTCTGCAATTCCTATTATTTAGATACTGTATCTCCAGGACTGGTCCTCTAGTTTTCCTCATTTCTTCTATCCTATTTTTCAATCCCTTTGTCCTTTGCTCTTCTTCCTAAGACAGTGTTTCAACTTTATCTTGCAACCCTTCTAGTCAATGTTTGTGTTTTTGTTTTTGCTATCATATTTTTAATTTATGCAAACTCTTATGTTATCTGAAAGAGGTTACTTTTTTAAAGTATACTTTTCATCTGTCCAATATCTTCTCTTATCTCTCTGAGACTATTAATGGTAGGATGTTTTTAAAAGTTTTCGTCTCATGGCATATTCTGTTTCTTATATTTCCCCCACCCTATTTGTGCATTCTGGTCTTTATATTAGAGACATTTCTAAGTCATCTAGTGGCCCCTGGTACTGTGTTCTTAGCGAAGAGTCATATTTAATGAAGAGCTGATTGAATGGGATGTTCTAACTCTACGTATGGGGCTTCTTGAAGTTGGGGTTCATTGTAGTGTGATTGGCCTGGGCTGTTTCCTTGGGGAACCACTGGTGTCAGAATGTTTAGGTTTTTCTTCTTGGGCTACTCAGATTCCCCCAGAGCAAGAT